CATCTCCCTTCCTCTCTATAAAACCAATAAAATACATTTAAAAAAAATGAATTCAGCAATGTAGCAGGGTACAAAATTAATACCAAGAAATCCATGGCATTTCTATACACCAATAGTGAACTTATAGAAAGAGAGACTAGCCGGGACCGGTTTGGCTCAATGGATAGAGCCTCGGCTTGGAGACTGAAGGATCCCGGGTTCAATTCCGGTCAAGGGCATGTACCTCGGTTGCGGGCATATCCCTGGTAGGGGGTGTGCAAGAGGCAGCTGATCGATGACTCTCTCTCATCGGTGTTTCTAACTCTCTATCTCTCTCCCTTCCTCTCTGTACAAAATCAATAAAATATATATAAAAAAAGAAAAAGAAAAAAAAAAGAGAGACTAAAAAAGCAATCCCATTTACCATCACACCAAAAAGATACCTAGGAATAAACTTAAGTAAGGAGGTAAAAGACCTATATGCGAAAAACTACAAGACACTGAAAAAAGAGATAGAGGAAGATGTAAACAGATGGAAGAACATACCATGTTCCTGGATTGGTAAAATCAACATCATTAAAATGTCCATACTACCCAAAGCAATCTATAGATTCAATGCACTCCCCAGTAAAATAGCAACGGCATACTTCACAGACCTAGAAAGAACTCTCCAAAAATTCATTTGGAATAAAATAAAGATCCCGAATAGCCACAGCAATCCTGAGAAAGAAGAACAAAGTAGGTAGGATCTTAATACCAGATTTCAAGCTGTATTACAAAGCCATTGTTCTCAAAACTGCCTGGTACTGGCACAAGAACAGACATATAGATCAATGGAATAGAATAGAGAACACAGAAATTGACCCAAATCACTATGCTCAATTAATATTTAACAAAGGAGGCATGAACATACAATGGAATCAAGACATTCTCTTCAATAAATGGTGTTGGGAAAATTGGACAGATACATGGGGGAAAAAAATGAAACTAGACCCCTTACACTATACACAAAAATAAAACTCAAAATGGTAAAGTATTTATGCATAAGACAGGAAACCATAAACATATTAGAGAAATCCTTAGGCAGAGAAATCTCAGACATATGCCGAAGCAATTTCTTCACTGATACTGCTCCTAGGGCAATAGAAGCTAAAGAGAAAATAAACAAATGGGACTACATCAAAATAAAATGCTTTTTTACAGCAAAGGAAACCATCAACAAAACAAGAAGAAAGCCCTTGTATGGGAGAACATATTTGCAAATGTTATCACTGATAAAGGTTTAATCTCCAACATCTACAGACAGCTTATACAACTTAATAAAAGGAAGATGAATGACCCAATTAAAAAATTGGCAATGGATCTAAATAGAATCTTCTCAAAAGAAGACAGAAGGAAGGCCAAGAGGCACATGAAAACATGCTCAAAGTCACTAATTATCCGAGAGATGCAAATCAAAACAGCAATGTGGTACCATCTCACACCTGTCAGAATGGCCAACATCAACAAATCAACAAATGACAAGTGTTGGCGAGGTTGCGGAGAAAAAGGAACCCTCGTGCACTACTGGTGGGAATGCAGACTGATGTAGCCACTGTGGAGAACAGTATGGAGTTTCCTCAAAAAACTGAAAATGGAACTTCCATTTGACCCAGTAATCCCACTCCTAGGAATATATCCCAAGAAATTAGAAACATCAATCAGAAAGGATATATGCACCCCTATGTTTATAGCAGCACAATTTACAATAGCTAGGATTTGAAAACAGCCTAAGTGCCCAAAAGTAGATGATTGGATCCAAAAACTATAGTACATTTACACAATGGAATATTATGCTGCCATAAAAAGAAAAAATTCTCATCGTTTGCAGCAACCCGGATGAAATTGGAGAACATCATGCTGAGTGAAACAAGCCAGTCAATGAAAGAGAGACACCACATGACCTCACTTATTTATGGATGATAAAGAACATTATAAACTGAAGAACCAAAAGATAGATATAGAGACAGTAAAGCAACAAGCAGACTGTCAAATTACAGCGGGGAGGTTGGGGAGATCTGGGGGAGATAAGAGATCAATCGAAGGACTTGTATACATGCATATAAGTACAACCAATGGACACAAAACTCTGGGGAGGGAGGGTATTTACGGGGGAGGGGAGCATTGGTATATGTACAAAAATATAATTTAATAAAAAAATATATTATAAAAAAATAAAAGAGAGATCAACCGAAGGACTTGTATACATGCATATAAGTAAAACCAATGGACACAAAACTCTGGGAAGGGAGGGTATGTACGGGAGGGGGGGAGCATTGGTATATGTACAAAAATAATAATTTAATAAAAAATATATTAAAAAAAAAAACCCAAAAAAACAAAATTATGGGACATCTATATAATGGAATACTATGCTGCTGTAACAAAGAAAGAATTCTTACTATTTGCAGAAGCATGGATGGACCTGGAGAGCATTATGTTTAGTGAAATAAGCCAGGCAATGAAAGAAAAATATCACATGATCTCACTCATTTATGGAAAATAAAGAACATTATAAGTTGATGAACAAAAATATACAGAAATATGAATAATAATTAATAATAGAAAAATTATACCTATCTACTGTAATAAAAATGTGAATGTGGTCTCTCACTCTTTAAATTTCACTGGATTCAAATATATAAACACTGAACAGATTGTCAAATTACAGCGGAAAGGCTGGGGAGTGTTGGGGAAGGGGGGAAAAGAGATCAACTAAAGGAGTTGTATGCATGTATATAAGCACAACCAATGGACACAAGACAATGGAGGGTGGGATGAGGGTATATGACAGGGGGTAGAGGAGGCTGGGGGAAAATCAAAGGGGGGAATAAAGGAGATATATTTATTACTACTGTATGCAATACTTTAAACAATAATAAAAAAAAAAAAGGCTTTTACCCAGATGATTACTCTTAAGAATTTATCCTAGGCATGTGTAAAAAGATCAAACTACAGTGATTTCTTCACAAAGCTGTATAAAACTGGAAAGTCTAAATGCCCCACACTGTACAAGTAAATAAATCATAGTACATATAATAGGTTTACAGAAGTTTGTATAGAAAATAATATAACCCTATCTAATAAAAGAGAAATATGCAAATTGATCATCACTCCAACACACAAGATGGCCACCACAAGATGGCCTGCAAGGGAGGGCAGTTGTGGGTGATCAGGCCAGCAAGGGAGGACAGTTGGGGGTGACCAAGCCTGCAGAGTAGGGAAGTTGGGGGTGACCAAGCCTGCAGGGAAGACCTTGTAGTGGAGGGCAGTTAGGGATGACCAGGCCTGCAGGAGAGGGCAGTTAGGGGCTATCAGGCTGGCAGGGGAGTGGTTAGGGGGTAATCACGCTGGCAGGCAGAAGGAGTTAAGGGTAATCAGAAAGGCAGGTAGGCAAGCAGTTTGAAGCCAGCAGTCCTGGATTGTGAGAGGATGTCCAACTACCTGTTTAGGGAGGATCGGGCCTAAATGGGCAGTCAGACATCCCTCGAGGGGTCCCAGATTGGAGAGGGTGCAGGCTGGGTTGAGGCACCCCTCTCCACCCCCAGTGCATGAATTTTGTGCATTGGACCTCTAGTAATTAATAAATAAAAGAATAAAATACATTTTTTATACTAAAAACTGTCAACCTACTTTTGTCTCATCCAGAATATACACATTAATGGAAAAAGGAGACAAGAAAAAGGAGATGGGAGAGGAGGCATTTTCATAATTTTTCAACATATGAATTTCCTTTCTTTGAAAAAAATTACTAGTGCCTCAAGTCTTAGCATGCTAGTAGCAATAAGGTAGTAGCTTTGTCAGTAGTGGCAAAATATCTGTATACTTTTTAAAAATATATATATATTTTATTGATTTATTACAGAGAGGAAGAGAGAGGGATAGAGAGTTAGAAATATCGATGAGAGAGAATCATCGACCAGCTGCCTCCTGCACACACCCCACTGGGGATGTGCCTGCAACCAAGGTATATGCCCATGACCAGAATCAAACCTGGGACCCTTCAGTCCGCAGGCCAACACTCTATCCACTGAGCTAAACCGGTTTCGACTATCTGTATACTTTTAATAAAGAGAATATTTCCTTAATTGTCTCCTCAGGCAGATCACTGACAGCTATTTTACTTTCCCTATCTTACTTTCCCTCTTATTCCGATTTACAGCTGTCCCTCCTTATCCACAGGGGAATGTTCTAAGACCCCTTGTGGATGTCTGACACAGTGGAGGGTACCAAACCCTACATATACTCTTTTGACCTATACATACATATGTTATAAATTAGGGACAGTGAAATATGAATAATAATTAATAATAGAAAAATTATACCTATCTACTGTAATAAAATGTGAATGTGGTCTCTCTTTAAATTTCACGGGATTCAAATATAATCAGAGATTTAAACCTCATATCTGAAATTTTCCATTATCTGATGATAACTGAAATCAAGAAAATCAATGGATAAGGGAGGACAATTGTAGTTTAAAAATTTAAGTGCCTTTGCCCTAGCTGGTTTGGTTCAGTGGATAGAGTATTGGCCTGCAGAATGAAGGGTCCTGGGTTTGATTCTCATCGAGGGCACATGCCTGGGTTGCGGGCTTGATCTCTTGTAGGGGCAAGCAGGAGGCAGTCAATCGATGATTCTCAACATTGATGTTTCCATCTCTCTCTCCCTTCCTTTCTGAAATCAATAAAAATACATTAAAAAATAAATAAAAATTTAAGTGCCTTTAATTAATATATATAGACTAGAAAACTTCTAAAACACAATGAATACAGGACAAATTAATAGTTTCAATACACAACCTCTTAGGAGAAGACACCTGACTCATACTTATCACAAACTTATTTATATATCTTCCCAAAATACATATGCATTATCTATCCCACCTCTATAATTGAATCCATGCTCTCTGGCATTCGCTATATTATGTACAATGTAATCAAAGATATATTACATATAGAATGTTAAATTGAGCAACTTACCACAATCCGTCATTTCAAAATCACCATTTACTTTTTTATTATAAGCCACAATTTCTCGTGGGATACTTTTCAATAGTACACTTCTATAGACCTATAGGTCAGAGGGGAAGAAAAGGTCTGCTAAGTCACAAAAAGGCACAGGTTAAGTCAAACCAAAATAAGAACAACAAAATATCCAGCCAATTAAAAAGTATTTGTCTGTATGGGTGATCATCAAGAGCAAGATGTTACTAGTCTGATAAATCAGGTTATGACAAACATCTTAGAAGAGGAAATACTGGCTGAAACCGGTTTGGCTCAAATGGATAGAGCGTCGGCCTGTGGACTGAAAGGTCCCGGATTTGATACTGGTCAAGGGCATGTACTTTGGTTGTGGGCACATCCCCCATAGGGGATGTGCAAGAGGCAGCTGATCGATGAGTCTCTCTCATCGAAGTTTCTAACTCTCTATCCCTCTCTCTTCCTCTCTGTAAAAAATCAATAAAACATATTAAAAAAAAAAAAAAAAAAAAAAAAAAAAGAAGAGGAGGGAATACTGAAGCAGATTCTGAGCCTACATCTAAAATATGCCCTTGTAGGAATTTACAATTTAAATAGAAGAGTTAGGTACATAAATAGCAACTAAACACTGATGAGCAGGTTTTGCCAAATAAAATAACTTCAAAGATCTGAACTTGTTCCTCTTCCTTTTTAACTCCTTACCTGAGAACCAATTTGCTCTTATTGTGGCTTGTTTTCCTGCTCCCATCCCATTCCCATCTCCTTTCAGATGGACACATGAAAATTTGTTATATTCCTGCCCCAAAACTCTTTTCTACCTCCAAGATAGTTGATAGGCATGACCCATTTCCCCCTCAACCCATGGGACTAGTGTTTAGAAGACATTAGGGAACTCTGACTTGGTTCATTTTGATACACAATAAGTTAATCTTAATGATCTTTAAAGACAATTTGAACCTCTTTTGGCTCTGTTCATGAGGGATTCTTCTCAAGAGGCTCAGAAACGCTTAGCCTGTCATAGTATATAATAAACACTTGTACTTGGCTCTTCTAATATCTGTAAATCACTCACCCTTTTGGAGACTTAAGAAGTGAAATTACTGGTGGGGTTCTCCTAGATGGGGGTGTCACTACTAGTACTCCCACCTGAGATATCTGAGCCTCCACCTTTCTTTCTCAGATGGCAGATCATGGGGGCCAGAGAAGAGGCCATTAGGCTTCCTTAGAGCAGAGAAACCAAGCTCTTGAATGGCTTTAAGGTAAACCAACCCTGTGTTCTCAGCTAAAATAACAACAATAATAAGGATCTAACAGTCATTAATGCTCACTATGTGCTAGGCCACTTCACTAACATTTTTTTAAAAATATATTTTATTGATTTTTTTACAGAGAGGAAGAGAGAGAGGAATAGAGAGTTAGAAACATCGATGAGAGAGATCAGCTGCCGCTTGCACATCCCCTCCTGGGGATGTGCCCGCAACCAAGGTACATGCCCTTGACCGGAATCAAACCTGGGACCTTTCAGTTCGCAGGCTGACGCTCTATCCACTGAGCCAAACCGGTTTTGGCCTTCACTAACATTTTATATTTTCACTAGAGGCCTGGTGCATGAAATTCGAGCACTGGGAGTCCCCTAGACTGGCCTGTGCCCTCTCACAGTGCGGAAGCCCCAGGGATAGATCACCCCAAAGAGGTATGCCCCACCCACCCACCTGGGGCTCCTCAATGGATTGCCCCAAAGAGGTAGGCCGGAGTCTGGGACCTGCCTCTCTGCCATGCACACAGCACCAAGCCCCTCCCATCCCCCACCCGCTGCGCACACACAGCCTCCTGTTAATCGCTTGTTATGGCGTGAGGGTGTCATGGCTGGAGGGCGTCACAACACATAGGCTTTTATTAATAGGATGACTGAAAAGTTGTACAGGATTCTCACCCATGGCTATTATAACATTATCAGAGATGCTTAATATTAAGATTAACAAAGATATAAACATTAAGATTCTTAGCAGATGGCAAAAGAAATTGAATTTTAAAAAATCCTCAAATTTCATTGAATTTAAACATCTTCAGAGATTCAAATCTCATACAATTAAAGTATATATATTTTCCCCCTTCCCCCACTAAATATTTTAGTGAAAAATGCCCTCACTTAACAGATTAACAAATGGAAAAAGAGATCATGTGAGAAGTATATACAAATACATGCATGAGTCAGAAACAGTCAATTTCCCAGCTTCTACAAAACTGTCTCTTGAATTTAATGATATCCATTAATCCGAAAAACCTAAAATGCTGTAAAAGAAGCATACGTTCTATATGACTTCTCATCAGAAAAATAGTATGAGTCTATTTTTGTCCAAGAAGAAAAATAATGTAACTCACATGACTATTAGCTTGGGGCTGATTCCTATAACTTTTCATTATTTCTTGAAAAGTTCTTTCTTCTTTTGTTACCTAAGGAAAAGAAAAACTGCATTTAACAAATGTTCCTAAAATAAAAATGGCCCTGAACAAACACTTCAATTATAGACTGGGACAGAGAGCAGTCTTACAGAAAGCCATTAACCCCAGGCCAGTCCATGACTAAAAACCACTACCATATATGATTTTTACTACCTTTAAAGTTCAGGCTTTGTGGCCTGTGGGAACTCAGCTAATAGTTTCATTAATCAAAAGCACCAAGACTGCTATGGTTTAACTTTACTGAAAATAGCCTTTCTTTGTAAAAAGAATGATATAAGAAAACTCAGATCTGTTGAATCCCTTACACTCTGCAATTTTATTAGTTTTTAAGTATTTAATAGTAAATTAACTACATACTAAGTGATAGAAAGTGTCTCATGGTGATTCACAATAAAAGTGAGTGGTTATCATTAAAATCCTAAGGATTAGAATTTTAATGTCAGGACAGACTACAGTTTCTAATGCTTACACTGAACAGACACAGTGGTGGCTAAAAGGAAGAAAAGGGATTAGTGATCCATAAAGGAATACCTTTTAGTCTATTTGTTATCAATAAAGTTCACTTAAATTGATCTTTTCCTCTGCTTTACTGTGCATTAGCACTTAACCTGTTCTCCATAATGTTGAGCTAGAAATGGCAAAGCCTGAACTCTGATAGTTTCTGAAAAACACAAATGATTAGTTTATAACATTTATTAATACCTATTTTGTGAGGCATTGTGAAACAGGTGTCACTAAGGAATTTAAAAACATGTCCTCTGCCTCAAAAAGCTTAAAAATGAGGTCTTAACTAGGTATGTCTGTGAGGATTGCCAGCATGGCCAATATGGTCAAGACCAAAGTTACAGATGATTCCTTCAGATACATCAGAAATTTAAAAAACAAGATATGTGATTTCATAACCTAAAACATGATGTAGCAACTAGAGTGAAATGTTCTTCAGAGGTGGGATAGAAAGTCACTGGAAAGGAATGTTATAGAAGATATTTTTACAATAAATTATGAATCAGGTTGCTATTTGTTACGTAAATTTGCTCAGCTCTGGGTCTCAGTTATTTATCTACAATGTAAAGATCATATTACCTTAAAGTAGCAGATTAAAGGTATTACATGGGTGGGCATGAAAATAGTGTTGCCACATTAACAATGGGGAGAGCTATTTTACTACAAATAGTGTCTAAGACCTTTCCCAACTTCTTTACAGCCAATGTATACTTATAAAGTAGGAAAGCTGATTATTATAAAACTAAATGGAGGATCCAGAGAATAGATATTGTAGCTGGAATTTACTACTTAATCAATGATGATGGCACTAATAGCTTATAGCACTTAAGGTAAACCAAGAATCAAGTTCAACAGAGTTTCACCTCATGCAACTAGGGCCAAGAACTCCCCCCAAAGTATACATTACCTTTGCCATGATATAAAAGGCACAAAGGAGGAGCTGATCCAAATGTCTGTCTTTCATTAGGTCAGGGCAGTGAACTAAAGTAAATTCAAAACAGGTCCATATTTTCCTTCGTAACTCATTTGAAACATCCAGTTTTAAACATAAATCACGTAAGCGTACACTTGCCAAATGATAGACCTAAGATGGACGGTAGCACATTGATACAAAAAAAAAAATAAAAAAAATAAGTAAAAATCATTTTTTAAATTTATGCCTTACCATGAACATTGGCTTTCATGTCAAGATTAATAAGTACCTAGGCAGTTGATACCTTAAATTATATAAAATTTCTGTTCTATAGTACTAGTTCACTGCTATGGCAGAAGGATATAGATGAAAACAAAATCTCTTTAAAAACTACCTTTAAAAATATTATTATCATCATTGTAAGATGGCAAACACCCTAATTTATTTTTTATTTAAACATTTTTTCAAATTTGTTACTGATTTTTAAAGAGAGGAAGGGAGAAGGAAATAGGGAGGAGGGAGAGGGAGAGGAAGAGGGAGAGAGAAACATCAATGTTGGGATAAAACATCTACCAGCTGCCTCCTGCATGCCCCCACCAGGGATTAAGCCCATAACCCGGGAATGTGCCCTGAGCAGCAACTGAACTGGCATCCTTTTGTTGCACTGGGCAATGCCCAACTAACAGCCTCATCAACCAGGGCACCCTGACAATTATTTTTGAAAAGATGTCTTCTACTCTCTAGGCTGCCATCTATAAAGTAAGAAACACTACAATGCAGAATTTACCTGCATTACAAGCATTATAATATATAATTTTTCAAGTGTTCAGAAGTCTCTATTTTTGTTTTTTGGTTCAGATAGAAAACATCAAATGTCAGAAAGTAAAGAACTAAATTCATTATTTGACTTAAAAGAAAAATGAGTCAGAAAGCAAAACCATTTAAAGAATTTCCCATATAATCTACATTGTTTTTATGATCACATGAAAGGAAAGTTAAATGAGAAAACTTTTTCCTTTTTGTTATTTTTAAGTATGTCAGAGTAAATTCAGTGCAATGCTCTGAACCATATATATGGTAATGTGAAAATCTCACAAACTAGTCCTGTATTGTGACAGGGATGTCCCTCGAGGGGTCCCAGATTGGAGAAGGTGCAGGCTGGGCTGAGGCCTCTAGTGTTATATAAAAAGTTATATAAGAACACAAGTTGTATACACACATACACACACACACACACACACACACACACACACACACAGAGTCATTATATGAATTGACACTAATGCAAATGACCAGAAGATCTTTCAAGATTCTAAAATGGTTTCTAATCTTAGAAACATTATGTTTTATTGTTTTTAGAATTGGTAACCCTGCTGTGGTATTCCTAAACCAGACTATTCCGTTTGAATTAATTTTTTAAATTTAAATGTTCGTTAAAAAGAGTAGAGCATCATTTACCCACAATAAACTCCCATCTAAAACAACATTAACACATTGGAATTAAATTCCAGAGGATGATCAACTGCTTATCCTATATAATAAAGAGGTAATATGCAAATTGACCATCACTCCAACACACAAGATGATTACCCCATGTGAATACAAGATGGCCGTCACAAGATAGCCAGCAGGGGAGTCAGTTGGGAGGAACCAAGCCTGCAAGGGAGGGCAGTTGGAGGTGATTAGACTGCAGGGGAGGGCAGTTAGGGGTGACTGGGTCAGAAGAGGAGGGCAGTTGGGGGCGACCGGGCCTGCAGGCGAGGGCTTGTTGGGAGGGACAAGGCCTGCAGGGGAGGAAAGTTAGGGGGGACCAGACCAGCAGGGAAGGGAAGCTGGGGGGAACCAGGCCAGCAGGGGAGGGCAGTTAGGGGTAACCAATATGGCAGAGGGCAGTTGGGGGCAACCATGCTGGCAAGAGAGGGCAGTTAGGGATGTCCTGGCTGGCAGAAGAGGGTAGTTGGAGGCCACCAGGCCAGCAGGGGAGAGCAGTTAGGGGTAACCAGGCCAGCAGGGAAAGGCAGTTAGGTGTCAATCAGGCTGGCAGGGGAGTGGTTAGGGGGTGATCAGGCTGGCAGGCAGAAGCGGTTAGGGGAAATCAGGCAGGCAGGCAAGTGGTTTGGAGCCAGCAGTTCTGGATTGTGAGAGGGATGTCCCTCGAGGGGTCCCAGATTGGAGAGGGTGCAGGCTGGGCTGAGACACACACATACCCCCTGTGTATGAATTTCATGCACCAGGCCTCTAGTGTTATATAAAAAGTTACATAAGCCGAAACTGGTTTGGCTCAATGGATAGAGTGTCGGCTTGGGGACTGAAGGGACCCGGGTTCGATTCCGGTCGAGGGCATGTACCTTGGTTGCGGGCATATCCCCAGTAGGGGGTGTGCAAGAGGCAACTGATCGATGACTCTCTCTCATCGATGTTTCTAACTCTCTATCTCGCTCCCTTCCTCTCTGTACAAAATCAATAAAATATATTAAAAAAAAAAAAAAAAAGTTACATAAGCACACAAGCTGACAGAAACATTAAGTTATATCAGAAAATTCCTGCATGCGCCCTGACCAGGGCCCAGGCTGGGGAGGAGTCTGCAACCAAGGTATGTACCCTTTTCTGGAATCACACCCAGGATCCTTTGGTCTGCAGGTTGACACTCTATCCACAAAGCCAAACTGGCTAGGGCTCAAATATGTTTTTTAAAAAGACTAAAGGCACATTACCTGATACCAATGTTACACACAGACACTATAAGAAAAGAAAACTACAGACCAATATCTCTTTAAATGGTAACGTGAAAATCCTTAACAAAATACTGGCAAACTGCCCTAACCAGTTTGGCTCAGTGGATAGAGCGTTGGCCTGTGGACTGAAAGGTCCCAGGTTTGATTCTGATCAAGGGCATGTACCTTGGTTGTGGGCACATCCCCAGTAGGGGGTGTGCAGAAGGCAGCTGATCGATGTTTCCCTCTCATTGATGTTTCTAACTCTCTATCCCTCTCCCTTCTTCTCTGTAAAAAAAAAAGAAAAGAAAAAGAAAACAGTAAGACTGGCATGAAAGAAAAATGTAATAAAAATTAGAAACAATTCTATTTAAAAAAAAAAAAAAAAAGGTAGAAACAACCCAAATGTCAATCATATATGAATGAATAAATAAAATAGTATACCATACACACACACACACACACACACACACACACACACACACATATATATATATATATAAATATTATTTAGTCTTAAAAAGGCAGGGAATTCTGACACATGTACAATATGAATGAACCTTAAAGACATTATGCTAAGTGAAATGAGCCTGTCACAAAAGGACATATTTTATGATTCCACTTATATGAGGTACCCAGAGTAATCAAATTCACAAAGACAGAAAGTAGAATGGTGGTTATCAGGGTCTGGTGAGTGGGCAGGGAGAGAAAGAGGAATGGGAATTACTATTTAATAGATACAGAATTTCAGTTCAGAAAGATAAAAATGTTCTGGAGATGGATGGTGGTGAAAGTGGCACAACAATGTAAATGTACTCTTAATGACACTTAAAAATAGTTAAAATAATAAATTTTATGTTATATATACATATTTTACCACACACACAAAAAGGAAAGCTAAATCTGCTGTGTTATATTCAGTCTTTCCTGCACTGATTAAACAAGATCTTTTTTATTTATTTTTTAAATATAGTTTTATTGATTTCAGAGAGAAAGGGAAAGGGAGAGATAGAAATATCAATGATAAGAGAGAATCCTTGATCAGCTGCCTCATTCACACCCACTACTGGAGATCAAGCCCACAACCAGGACATGTGTCCTTGACCAGAATAGAACCTGGGACCCTTCAGTCCACAGGCTAATGCCCTATTCTATTCACTGAGCCAAACCGGCTAGGGCTATTTTTATTTAAAAAAAAAAAAACAACTTTTTTTTTTTTTTTACATTGATTTCAGAGGAAGGGAGAGGGAGAGAGAGAAACATCAATGATGAGAGAGAATCATTGATTGGCTGCCTCCTACATGCTCCATACCAGGGATCGAGTCTGCAACCCAGGCATTTGCCCTAACTGGGAATGGAACCGTGACCTCCAGGTTCATAGGTCAATGCTCAACCACAGAGCCATGCTGGTTGGGCTAAACAAGATCTTTTTAGATGCTATAAAAACACATACCTTTCTATAAAACAGTGCTAAGGACCCAGTTCTCTTTGGTCTGCTTATTCCAGTTGGATGTACCTCTTGTGCTTTATTCAGATGGCTTTGTTTTGGAGAAGTACCAATTAATGACTGAGCAGTAAGTGATACAGGACTCTCAACTTTGGACTCCCGAGTTGTGTTCATGGAAATTGGTATCAGTGTGATCTCTCCAGCATCATTTGCAATACCTAAGTGTGCAATACAAGCAAGAGTTCTATTTTAGCAAAAGCTGCACCTGTCCCAGAAAAACTGTCTTTATCTCTATCCATTTACAGGTATGTGTATAAGCATAGAAAATAAATTCATTTAAATGTTACCATGCAATGGGATTGTAACTTTATGTCCTGTTGTCCCCGTTATGATGGCTGTGGCCATTGTTAAAAGACTTTGCCCAGGTGAAATTGATATATTTTCAGCAGTAATGCTTGAAGAAGGAGCAATTTTCAATTTTTTCCCTTCTGTTATGATCCTGTCCATAAGCATTTCCTTTGGGGGTTCATCCCCAAAAAGTCTTCTCTTAGCACTCCCTGCGGCAGGAGAACTGTAGCGTTCATGGACAGAAATTGGAGACAATGGTTGCATATCTAATATAAAGAGAAAAATAAATTTATAACGGTTTGATATGTATTCTAAAATAATGAACCAGGTTTATTATGCAGTCATAAAGATGAAGTGGTGGGACATGCTGTAATATAGATATATCTTTATATCTGTCCTCATATCAAGTCAAGAGTGAGAAAGAGGCCTGAAATAAATTCTTACAATAAAATGTGAAAATGATAGCTCACCCTCTGGTTTCTTGAACACTGCCTATATTAAAGGAGCAAAATGTTAAGTGTAAAGTAGATAGAAGCTGAGAGGTAGAATGAGGTGACCTCTAAATTTAAGTAATAGTCCAATAAGTTTCTGTCTCCCAATCTCATCTAATAAATAACACTTAAGAAGGAAAAATCAGTTATTTGGTTCACAGTTTTGACTTCACCTTTCATACTCCCACACTTCTAGCAATGCTGGAACTTTAAGGCAATGCTGGAACCACACCTTCGCTACACCCAACAGTCACGACCACCAGTCAATCAGAGCAAGTATGCAAATTAATCCAACCAAGATGGCAGTTAATTTGCATTCAACTGAAGACAGCATCGAAGGAAGAGGGAGGGAAGGTGGAAAGCAAGGTGGCTGCAGCTGCTGGAGGGAAAGTACTGGCAGTGCGTGAGGGGCAGGGTGAGCGTGGCGTGCGGGGCAAGGTGTACAGCGGTGGTGGCAGCGTGTGTGGCCATGGAGACGGTGGCTGCAGTGGCCTGTTGCAGCAGGAGATGTGGGGAAGTGGGAGATGTGTTAGTGGCAGGAGGGAAGTCCGCCGGAAGTCTTACAGGAATATTCCTGCAACAGGTCCCTAGTCATAATAATAAAATGCCAGAGGTTGTATGCATACATATAAGCATAACCAATTGACACAAAACCCTGGGGATTGAGGGCATGAATGGGAGTGGGGACAATAGTAAGATATGTATACTTATAATACCTTAATAAAAAAAAAAAATGGAAAAAAAAAATGCCAGAGGTGTCATGACTGACATGACTGGTCACCATGAAGTGCTTGGAGCACCTCTCGGTCCCTCCCCTGAGGCCCACAGGCTCTGATTGCAGCAAGGCTGTTGAACGGGTGGGTGTGGTGAGGCGAGTGCAGGAGTGGGGCTGCATTATTTCACGTGCTGGGCCTCTAGTATACATATAAATTATAGTCAAAGATACATTTGTAGACAGACACACACATACTTCATGCTTTGTATCGTTCCAATATGCAGTTTAACAACAGCCCTAGCAAAACAGTTCAAATTTCAAATTTCAGTTGACAAGATATAGTAACTGTGGGTAACTGTATAAACTAAAGACTTCAGTCCATAAACCATTATATAAATAATAGCTGTGCATCATGATCACATCTATTATCCCAGTGGTTGGCAAACTTATTATTCAACAGCAACAAATATCAACAGTACAATTGAAATTTCTTTTGAGAACCAAATTTTTTAAACTTAAACTTCTAATGCTACATCTTCAAAATAGACTCGTCAAGGCCCTGGTATTCTGTGGAAGAGCCACACTCAAGGGGCCAAAGAGCCGACCACTGTGTTATCCAATTCATGTAGACAACAAAACATATACCAAGTTATGCTTCCCTTATCTCCCAGTGGTAAACCCACACAACATTTTATAAACCGACAAATGAAAGAGGGAATCATTAGAAAAAAGATATAAGTACAACAAAGAAATAAAAAGTGATAGTGCTAAAAGTGAAATTAAAATAGAAATTGTAGAAGAAAAGCTGACTCTGGGAATATTATTGACACTATCACTGTTCAAGAGATTTACATATGTAGCTAGAAGTACTTTATAAAGATGAAAATTATGGATATAAAAGAAAAGTTTTTGTGACAAAAAAGATAATATCCAACAGGAAGTAATGATGGCAAAAATTTAACATCAGAGAAACTCAGATATTTCACAGCATTGAAAACACAAAGAATAAAATGTTGAAAGCTGGGAGCATTTTATACCTTCCTTCTTGGCACTCCCTTCGGTTCCAGCTCAAATAAACTCCTATAAAAATTCTCAAAAGTAAATAAAATGTTGAAAACTGATCCAATATGAGTTTAAAAGACACAAAATGGATGCTTCCCTCAGTCTGAGAAGGGAGCAAACACTGTTTTAATTATTTTCTGTAAGTTTTAAAAAAAGACAAAACACTTATTCTCAATGTTTTTAATATATTGTACTAAGTAAATATTTTTACTTATTGTTCATTTCTCTAATCAAATAATTGATAGAGAATTTTTAAAGTTTTGACAAAATTTTTAAAGATTATAAAACAATCCTAGTTATTCCTCGTTTATGTATATTATTTTATATGCACAGCTTGCACATTTTTATCTTGTACTACATCTATAGCTTACACATGTATGCATGTACCCACACACACATAAAAAACTATAGTTCAAAAATGAATCTTGAGCTATTTTACTATGCACACTGAATACTTTGTTCATCTGAGGTTTGTTCAGAGACATTCTGTAGTCAAAAGATTTTCTTAACTGATTTAAGAAAAAATAAAGCAAGAGCTACATAATCCAGAAAATGTACACATCAGTATGCTATATCACAAGAGAAAATAAGGAAAGATGCACTAAAATCTTCCTGTTAGTAAGATTCAAAGGAACTATTTTAAGAACATAGTATAAATAAATCAGTCATTAGATAAAACTTTAGCATCCCAGTGAGTAATCTGCTCTACTTTAAATACTTATCTTTCTATAGAGACATGCATAGACAGAGAGAGAAAATAATTTGTCACATTTAAAAATTAGGTATTTAGCTTATTAAGAAATCGTTTTCCACCATCATTTAGAAAAGGTGTGTGTGTTTATTAAAAGGCCAAGATATATTTTCACAATAATTGACACTGAAATTACGAAAAATAATTATATTTAAAATCAGATTGGAAATCTTTTACTTTAACTTAAAAAAGTATAAAATGAGCCACAGTACGAGTTGACGTAAGCATTGATCCCTCTTTCAAATCCTAATGAAAAAATAAAAAATATATTAATAAGACTTGACATTTTCTCTGAAAAAAATTATTTGTTATTTTTCATTGTTTTACTAATGTTGAACATACCCCTTCGAAGACTTCCACTGTCTGTCCGAACTTCTTTGACCCTTGGATGCATTAGAGGAGACATTGGCATCATGGGAAGATGACCCTGTATATTTCCCCCATTTCCTGTTTCAAAGTTATTTGGAAATATAACCTGTTGAAAATAAAAGCCCTTTGCTTTACATACAGATGAACCTACAGATGAAAACTTATAACAGAAAAAATGAGAAAAATCTTAACTTCTTACTTAACTATGTAATTTCTCTTTCCTTTTTTCTTCACAAAATTGCTCAATAGTTAATATTGTGAAATTGTGTGTAGAATTAATCACACTTAATCTTATCATCTATCTATGTAAGTTTATGGACAACTAGAAGTAAACCTATGAGGTAGGCACTATCACTCTCCACTTAGAGATGAGAAAAATGAGGCACAAATTTGATTGCTCAAGGACACACTGCTACAAAGTAATAGAGCAAGAGCATTAACTAAAATCTATTTCTTTCAAATTCATAACTTTTTTTTTACTTTCCCAATGGATTCTATAATGGAAATATTGATGAATACTAAAGATTGCCCCATTAACCACAGTGCTGCAAAAGACAAAAGATATGTGGAAGAGAGATTTCAAGAAACCATTTTCAAATTTGGACAGTTCTTTCAGTAGGTTGGGATTAGGGAAAAGACCATCAAACCTCAGGGGAGGAAAGCAGGAGAGATCAACCAAAGGACTTCAATGCATGCATATAAGAATTAACCAGTGGACAAAATCAGCAGGAAGGTGAGGGCATGTACTGGGCGGTGAGAGGCAGTATACAAATATCATGTATTGGGCTTCTAGTTATTTTATAAAATGAAAGGATTATTGCCTTTCCCTGACTCACTTCTTCACAAGTAGGAACTTTGTTTGCAGAAGCCTGGAGAGCCTCCCACAGTGCAGAATTGTGATTCCATGCTAAACTCTCCAAAATCTGTTCTTCAATGCTGTTCAGGTGTTTCACCATGTCCCTGGAAAGTCCCTCCTCTGAGCGGATCACCACCTCAATAACCTGGTGACAAGAAAATTGAGTAGATAATGTACTCTCAAGCAATCAATTCTAGACTGGGTGGGCTTGCATGTATGAATAGCTTTGTGTTATTAATGACACAAAATCAAGGATATCCTTGAAGTAGTTTCTTTAAAATTTATCATTACTATTGAAAGTTTATATAGATGTACCCTTTATTGCCTATTGATCCCTTCTGGCCTGCCCCTTCTCCCACCCCAAGCCTTCACCACACTATTGCCTGTGTCCTTGGGTTATGCATGTAATTTCTTTGGTTAACATTTTTATCAATTTTATGATTTTAGAGAGGGAGAGGGAGAGAGAGAAAATCTATGAGAGAGAAACATTGATTAGCTGCCTCATGCAAGTCCCCTATTGGGAATGGAGCCTGGGCATGTGCCCTGACCAGGAATTGACCTGGGGACATCTCAGTGCATGGGACAACACACAACCAACTAAGCCACACCATTCAGAGCTGAAGAAGTTTTTAAGATCTTCAAAATACTTTCATATATATATTTGTTTTTCATGCTTTCTTTATACACGGAAAATTAAGATGATAGTTGAAAACTTGGTAACAGCCCAATAATGATAGAAGTCAGGCTTTGGGTTCCCAGCCCATTGCTATTTCAAATTTATTGCTGTTTTGAATTCATACTATTCTTCCTAACAGCTCAAAAGAAGAAAATGAATAATATTATATTTGGAAATAACTTTGTTTTTATATACTATAATTACATTTTAATAAGAGTAAATATCTATGGAGGGATTAAGCAAAGAAAAAGAAGAGAACTCATGAACATGAACAGCAGTGTGAAAGGAAGGTGGGTGGAAGAGGGCATAAATGGTGATGAGAAAAACAAAATTAAATCAGCTGGTGTTGCACAGTTGTTAGAGCTTTGGCTTGCACACCAAAGGGTGGAGGGTTGGATTCCCGGTCAAGGGCACATACCTGGGTTGCAGGTTCAATCCCTGGCCCTGGTTCGGGCACATGCAACTAATTAATATGTTTCTCTCTCCCCTTCCCACCCTTTCCTTCTTCCCCGCACTTTTTAAAAAATATCCTCAGGTGATATTAAGAAAACAAAGGAACAAACAAAAAGAGTAAATGCCTAGGACAATGTAAGTATATACACAAAAGTATTAATACTGATTATCATTAGAATTTTAATGTGTGATTTTAATATTTGCATTTTTAGATAGCATCTGAAATGATCTTGTTTTATTATCCAGTCTCCATATTTTTTGAAGGATTTAATCTACTTGCATTAAAGTAATTGTGATATTAATTGTTGATATGCATTTATTGCCATTCTATTATTCATATTTTTGAATTTTTTTTAAATTAAATTATTATCTGTGTAAATATTTTACCATTGCCCCCCCCCCCCCCATTGAATTTTTTTCTTCTTAAAGAAGATCCTTTAATATTATTGTAGTACTGGTTTGGTGGTGGTGAACTCCTTTAGCTTTTTCTTGTTGGAGAATCTCTTAATCTGCCCTTCCATTCTAAATGATAACTTTGTTGGATAATTTTGGTTGTAGGTCCTTGCTTTTTCTTTTCTTAAAAAAAATTTTTTTTTTTTTAAAGAGAAAGGAACAGAGAGGGATAGTTAGTAATATTGGTGAGAGACATATCAATTGGCTGCTTCCTGCTAGCCCCCCAATAGGGATTGAACCTGCAACCAGGACATATGTCCTTACCTGGAAGTGATCCTGTGTGACCTCATGGTTCATGGGTTGATACACAACCACCATGCAAGCATGTAGATCCTTGCATTTCATGACTGAATATTTTGTGACAATCTCTCTGGGCCTGCAAAGTTTCTATTTAGAAGTCAGTTGACAGTCTATGGGTTCTCCCTTGTGGATAATTGCTTTTAAGATTCTTTTTATCTTTTATCTTTGATATTTTAATTATGATGTCCTGCTGTGGGCCTCTTTGGGTTCATCTTGTTTGGGCCAATGTGCTTTCTGAACTAAATGTCTATTCCCTTTTCCAGGTTAGGGAATCATTTTTTCAAATAGGCTTTCAATTCCTAATCTTTCTCTTCTCTTTTTGGCTTGCCCAGGAGGTGAATTGTTGGTACATTTGAAGCCCCAGAGGCCCCTTAAAACTATCCTAATTTTTTTGGATTTTTTTTTTTTTTCCTTTTTGCTATTTTGATCGGATGTATTGTGCTTCCTTATCTTCCAAATCACTAATTTGATTCCCTGCTTCGTTTACCCTCCTATTGATTCCATATACTGTAGTTTCCGTTTCAGCAATTATATTCTTTTCTGACTGGTTCTTTTTTATGTTTCCTTTCTCCATTTTTATGTTTCCTATCTATTTGTTGAAGTTCTAAGTTCATCTACTCTTCCCCTAAATTCATTGAGAATTCTTTTTTGAAAAATATTTTTTATTTTTATTGATTTCAGAGAGGGAGAGGGAGAGACAGAAATATCAATGATGAGAGAGAATCATTGCTTGGCTGGCTCCTACTGGGAATTGAGCCCACAACCTGGACATGGGCCCTTGACCAGAATAGAAGCTGGGACCCATTGGTCTGCAGGCCGATGCTCTATCCATTGAGCCAAACTGGTTAGAGCTCATTGAGCATTCTTATAACCAGTGGTTCTATCTCTGAATCTGGAAGATTGCTTATCTCCATTTTGTTTAGTTCTTTTTCTGGAGTTTTGGGACATGTTTGTCTCCTCATTTTGGCTGCCTGTGTTTGTTTCTATGATTGGGTAGAGCTGCTATGCCTCCCAGAGTGGACTTATGTAGTATGTGTCCTATAGGGTCCAATGGCACAGTCTCCCTGGTTACCCAAGCTGCGGCTCTAGGTTTACCCCTCCCTATGGGCTGTATGCACCCTCCTGTTGTAATTGAGCCTGACTGCTATTGGCATGTTAAAGGGAGGGATTTACCTCAAAGCCGAATAGCTGCAAGAATGGCCATGACTATAATGCAGGAGTTGCTGTGCAGGGGCCAAACCTATGGAGCAAAACTCATTTCAGCAAGACTCTGATGCCCAGAGACCACTCCTTAAGTGTGTCACTCATGGAGCGGTTGGGTGGTACTTTGGCCTGGTCTGAAGCTATCTATTGGTTGCACTGTCCCTGAGGTCTTCTAGGAGGTGCAGGCCAAGATCAGCTGCTTGCTGTGCCTTGCCTGGGATCACCTGGCATGAGCTAACAGAGCGATCTGCAGATAGCTGCTACTTGTTGAGCTTCAAGGTGCCTGGGAGAGACCAACTTATGAACCAAGGCCAACTGGTGCTGCGAGTGCTTAGTCTAGAGCCACTTAACAAGAGGTTCAGAGCAGGCAAAGGATAGACCTATGCATGTTTGGGGTTTGTGAATTTTTGAGAAATTTTAGGAGAGTCTGCACCATGAATCAAAATAGGCTATTTGTATGGAAAAGCCACTGGAAATGGCTTTGGTGTGTCTGAAAGTTGTATGGGTGAAATCTCAGGGAATCAATAGAGTGGGTGAACAGTATTAGCTAAGATGATGAAGAGGCAGATATGGAGCCTATCTGCTGGCTCTATGGGGGGAGTGCTCAGCAAAGGAAAAAATGGTCTCTGACTTCTGTTTGAAAGAAAGCTGTCCTTCTAACCATCATCCCAAGGCCAGACAATTTAGTTTTTTCCCATATGTCCCTGAGGCTTTTTGAACTGCTGCCCCAGCAATGGAATCCAGAGAGATGAGTCCAAATGAGTCCATACATAGGCCATTTAAGAGGAACTGCCTGGGACCCCATCTCAGTCAGAATACAGACTGGTTTTCACAGCCAAAGTTATGGAGACTTCTCTTCCCAGGGCTAGGGTACCTGGTGTGGGGCTGGAGCCCCTTGCTCCTCATGGGGAACCTCTGCAGCAGAGGTATGCCTCCTGAATTTTAACTGCCATTATGAGTGAGGGACCAGCCTATGCTGCATCTCTGCCTCTCCTACCAGTCTTGATGGAGATTCTTTTTTTTTTTTTTAAATCCTTAATTATAGGACTTCTGTTCAGATTTCAGGTGGTTCTGAATGGTTGTTCTGTACTTCAGTTGTCATTTTCCTGTGGTTGTGGGAAGAAGGAAGTAAGTACTGCATTTAACTACCTTACCATCTTGAGAGAAATCCCAGGATTATGATTTTTTATTCATAAATATGGAAAATTCAAAGTTAACTACTTAGTTTCTGGTTGTATTTGCCAATCAGTGACAGAAACAAAACCAAACTTGTGAGATTGGCTTAATTTACATATACCCTTCATTCTCTCCCCTTTGTCCGTGATTCCACCCAAAAGGAATATATGTTTTCAGAATACCACTGGGAATATTTTCCAAACATCAGTACAGTGTGTTTCCTCAGCATAAGATAAATAGAATACTATGTGAGGTGCACCATATATGAGGTATTCATCTCACCTTATAAAAATAAAATGGCCGCAAATTGAGAACTTCAATAATCCAGGGAAAAGTACGAGGTGAGCTATAAGCAAAGAGCACAATTTCCAAACAACAGGCCATCAAAGAACGATGGAATATATCTTGCTCTAAAAGAACCTTGGAAAAGAGAAAGACCACAGTTTAATATTTCTAACAATTTCAGTCTTTGTCACTCTATAAAAAAAGACTATAGAAATAAGATAAAATCACTTGTACACATTATATTATACTAGATTATCAAAGATAAAAATTTAAATTCTCAAACTGGTAAAGAGTTTTCTTATATATCCTGCTCTATGGTAGACATATTTAAATGAGTCATAGATCACAACCAGCTTTGAAAATTGAGCAAATAACAAAACAGTCAATATCCTATTAAAAGGAAAGCATTAGAAAAATTTTAATAGGTATTATTACCAGTCTTTTGTCAACATAAGGGCTTATTAATAAAAATGAGAAAAGGTATTATAATATCATGGTTAAGACTTTAAAAAGTTCAGAGAAAGTTATTTTACTAAGATAAATTCATCTTTCATCACCGAGTTTAAGATTCAACATCAGTTTTTAGTATTAATCAGGCTATTTATTGCCATCCTTTCAAATATCATTCCAAATCAACGAAGAGAATAAGAAACAGAAACTATTCTGTAGAAAACTAGGAGTCATCTCTAACTGCAAATCATCCTACATAATAGAGCTAATATGATAATTAGACCGAACAGATGAACGACCATCCAAATGACATTCTGGACAACCATCCAGATGACCTTCCAGACAAAGCCAGGGCTGCAAGGGCTAGCCAAGGCAGTGAGGTGTTGCAAGGGCCGAGGCTGTGAGGGGCTGCAAGTGCCAAGGTTGTGAGAGCCAAGCCCTTTGCACAAATTTCGTGCATTGGGCCTCTAGTCTTATCTAATAAGAGTAATATGCAAATTGACTGCACCTCCACTACATCCACAAGTGCACCAGCCAATCAGGAATGAGTATGCAAATTAACCCCAACCAAGGTGGCTGCAGCCACTGAGTGAGCAAGAGGTTTGGATTTCCCTGGCAATGAAGAAAGCCAAGCTTCCCGCACACCCTAATTGGCCATGGACTCCACTCAAGGCTACAAAGTTTCAATTATAGAAGATAAATAAATCCCAGATACCAGAGACTCCAGGTCGCTAGGGGGCATGGTCAGCCTGCAAACTCCCACAGGCCCCTCACCCAGGCTGCCCTGCATCCCAAGGGAACCCCCGCCTTGATCCGGGACACTCTTTAGGGCAAACCAGCTGGCCCCCACCCATGCACCAGGTCTCTATCCTAATAAGAATAATATGCAAATTGACCATCACTCCAACACATAAGATGGCTGCCCCCATGTGAACACAAGATGAACATCACAAGATGGCCAGCAGGGGAGGGCAATTGGGAGGGAGGGACCAGGCCTGCAAGAGAGGGCAGTTGTGGGTGATCAGGCCAGCAGGGAGGGCAGTTGGGAGGGACCATGCCTGCAAGGGAGGGCAGTTTGGGGCGATCAAGCCTGAAGGGGAAGGCAATGACCAGGTCAGCAGAGGGAAGTTGGGGGTGATCGGGCCTACAGGGAAGGGCAGTTGGGGGGGACCCAGGCCTACAGGGAAGAGTAGCTGGGGGGAGGGACCAGGCCTGCAGGAGAGGGCAGTTAGGGGTGACCAGGCCTGCAGGGGATGGTAGGTAAGGGCAAACAGGCTGGCAGGAGAGCAGTTAAGACATCCCTCAAGGAATCCCAGATTGGAGAGGGTGCAGGCTGGGCTGAAGGACATCCCCCGCTCCCAATGCACAAATTTCATTCACTGGGCCTCTAGTCTATATAATAAAAGTCTAGCAAATATTATGGTGGAATGACTGGTTGCTGCCACCAGTGCTGCTGCGGAGCTCAAGGGCCCCAGGGCCAGTTGCGCTGCCACCACCAAGGTGCTAGTAAAGAACGTGAAGGTGGCCAGTATGAGCATGCAGCTTGAGATGAAGGCTTTGTGGGATGAATTCAATCAGCTGGGCTGAGATGATCAGGGTTCCTCTCTCCCTGCCTCGACCCTCCTCACATGAAGCTAGTCTCAGGCAGCAGGCTTTGGCCCAATCCACACGAGTGAGACTGAGAAGTGGGGTAGGGGGCACAGCCTGGTCACCTGTAGGTGCTTCTTGGTGTGGGCCAGATTCTTTGCTGAGTCCTGGCTCTAACGACAGCAACCTGGCGCCCTGGAATAGAGGGTACTACTCAGGATGCCAGGAAGGCAGCAGAGAGAAACCCTGTGGCTCTACCACTGGACCAGCAGCCCAGGACCCAGGACTGCCAGAAATGGACCAGCTCAGAGTACATCGAGCTTAGGGGAAAGGCAGCTGCCTATGAGAAGCCATGCTGCCAGCCAGATCCCTCAAAGCCAGATCTCTCACCTCAAAGGAAAGTAGGTCTTTGGTTCAGTCTATCCCACCTAAAGAGGAGCAGCTGGGTAGATTTTAGGGGAGAATTAAAACTCTAAAACAGTGTGTTCTGTTCTATGGAGATTGCTACCAGGTTGTCTTAGGCCTAAATTCAGGGTGATTGTGGGACCTGGCTCTGCCACTGGGGCCCGTGTCTTCCAATTGGTCTGTATTGTTGTAAGGCCAGAAAGAGAAGAAGGGGAACAAGTTTTTCAATGCAATGAATTTGAGTAACAGATAAAGGCGAGTGCCAGGCTGTGTCTAATGTATACACAGAGATGCCAGCTCTGAGTCAGCCTGGCCAAAGGGAGCTCAGGGTGTTTGCAGAGCCTGCTCCTGGTTTCTGTTTCCTTGCTGAGACCATCCTCCCTGGAAAGCCTGGGGCCCATGCTCAGCTCCAGCTCAGTGAGTCTTCTCCAGGCCTCTCTCCCCAGCTGGCCGCGCCCCAGATTGGCCCTCCTACCCTGATCAGGAGAAGAGCTGGCTGGACCCCACCTGTGTACGAATTTGTGCACTGGGCCTCTAGTACATTTATAAAGACTAGAAGTAGACGGAAGGATGACAAATTACTAAGAATTAAGTAAAATGGTCAAACATAAGAGCCTGAAGAGACACACTATTAACAAATTTGTTCTATGCAACCTGAGAAGAAACAAAGCAACCAAAGGCACAGGAAGAATAGAAAGCAGTGGTTGGGCAAGGGACCAACATGGATAGATGTTGTAGTTAGAATTATACCTACCCAACCCTCATTCTAAGGAGTCAGAAGATAGTCCTCTAGTCTATCCCAACAGAGAACCTTAGAATTATTCTCTGTAGAACTGAACTGGAGAGACTTGAAATTGAAGACTGAAGTTTTAGGTAGAAATTTTCAGACTAAATTGGGACATCAAGTTTCCCTTCCTTGTTCTGCTCAACTACAGCAACTGTGAAGCAAAAGATTAGCAGATACTTCTCTAGAGAACACAAAATATTATCAAAACAGTTGAGGGTCTCTAATTCTACATAATCTCCTGAGACTGGTGAGCTTTTATTTTTTTTTTTAAATATGTTTTTATTGGTTTTAGAGAAAGAGGAAAGGAGAAGGATGGAAGAAAGGATGGAAAGCTTTTATTTTTTTTAAATATGTTTTTATTGGTTTTAGAGAGAGAGGAAAGGAGGATGGAAGGATGGAATAGAGAGAGAGAGAGAGAGAAAGAGAGAGAGAGAGAGAGAGAGAGACATCGATGTGACAAACATCTATTGGTTGCCTCCTGCACATGCCCTGACCGGGGATCAAACCTTTCGGGACAATGCTTAACCAACTGAACTACACTGTGAGGGCAAGGCTGGGGGATTTTTATTCCCACTCTTGCATACAGAGCTTTTGAATCAAACTGTCTGTCAACATAAGGGTTTATTAGTGTCTCATTTTTAGTGCCTCATCTAAATAAAAGTAAAAGTAAACATCCAACATTAGAGGAAAACCTCCCACTGAAAGACAAAGATCAAAATAAACAGAAAAGAAACAGAGGAAACAGACAATTCAAGCAACAGAACACAGCTTCCAAGAAATCTAAATTAATAACCCCGGAGAGAAAGAGATCTTAGAAATTAAAATATAGCTATAATAAAAAATGTTATTAGGATTGAATGATGAAAGTTGAATAAATATCCTGACAATTAAAAAAAAAAAAAAAAAGAGCCAGTGGTGTGGCTCAATTGGTTGACTATCATTCCAAGCACAAAGTGGTCACTAGTTAGATTCCCAGTCAGGTCACATACATAGGTTTCCGACTTGATCCCCAGTAGGGGGCATGCAGGAGGCAGCTAATTGATATTTCTTTTCTTTTTTCTTTTTAAAAAAAATATATATTTTATTGATTTTGTACAGATAGGAAGGGAGAGAGATAGAGAGTTAGAAACATCGATGAGAGAGTCATCGATCAGTTGCCTCTTGCACACCCCCTACTGGGGATATGCCCGCAACCAAGGTACATGCCCTTGACTGGAATCGAACCCGGGACCCTTCAGTCCCCAAGCCGACGCTCTATCCATTGAGCCAAACCGGTTTCGACAACTAATTGATATTTCTATCTCTCCCTCTCCTTTCCTCTCTCTCTAAAAATCAATAAAACATAATTTTTTAAAGTAAAAGAAAAATAAGAGAAGAAAATAATTCTGAAAATCCCTCATCTGAAAAATAAAATCTACAGTGAGATAAATCAGTGGCAATATATTACATAAGAAAGAATGCAATAAAATGACCTAAAGCTGCTGGACATATTTTTGGGATTAAAGGAACAATTTTGCTCAGTTGTTGTTGAGTGCCTACCTATGAACCAGGAGGTCACAGTTTGATTCCCATTCAGGAATCAAATCAGAAAAATCAAATCATAGTTGATATTTCTATCTTTCTTTCCCTTCCTCTCTGAAATCAATAAATATATATATTTTTAAATTACATTGATTTCAGAGAGGAAGGGAGAGAAAGATAGAAATATCATCTATGAGAATCATTGAGGGCTGCCTCCTGCAGGTCCCCTACTGGGGATCAAGCCCGAAATCTAGGCATGTGCCCTAACCGGGAACTGAATCCAGGATCTCCTGATCATGCCAGCTGGGCCAGGCTTAAGATTTATGAATCTTGCTAGTTGCTGAGAGAGGCAATTTACTTACTGACATGTCCATTCCATGAAGTCTTCGTGTTTCCTGAACCATTATAGTCTCTAGTATTTTATAATACAAAATTTCTGCAAGCTTTAGTCTGTTTACAGCAAAGTCTTAGAGGGGGAAAAAAGGGAAAATGTGTTAATGAAACATGGCTGTTAAGGACTTAAAAACAAAACACATAAACTTAAATAAATTAAGAAAGCAGGGAACCCTGGCTGGTTGCTCAATAATTAGAGCCACAACCCAACGAGTCAGGGATTCAATCCCAGGTCAAGGGTATGCACCTCAGTTGCAGGTTTGATCCCCAGCCTAGATTGGGGTACAAATGGGAGATAACCAATTAATGTGTCTCTTATTGATGGCTTTGTGTCTTTCCCAACCCTCCTCCCTCCCCTCCACTCTCTCTCTAAAAGAAAAAAAAAAAGAATAGCTGGGAAGGAAAAAACTTGAATTTCTACTTTTTTGGGAGGACAATTTGTCTATTTTTATTGCTGTATTAAGTTTAATTTTGTCTTACCTATGTGAGATCCTGGTTGTTCATCTGTTGATTGAGTATAGTGTTGACAGAAAGCCTCTCCTATTTCTTTCACTATTTTCATAATATTTTCCATAGGATTACGCATACAAGATCTATTAAATATAACAGGAACTCAATTACCAGGGAAAAAAGAACAACCCAGCGTACCAACATTTCTTGTTTTAACGATTATCTTTGTTTTTCATGATCAAAGTTCTAGTCTCAGTTGTATACCTAAAGAGTCCCAAATAAGATGAATCCAAAGAGGCCCCACACCAAGACACATGCCAAAGTTTAAAGACAAGAGAAAATCTTAAAAGCAGCAAGAGAAAAGCAGTTAAGTTACCTCCTACAAGGGAGCAATCATACAATTATCAGCTGATTTCTGAACAGAAACTTTGCAGGCAGAAAGGAGTGGCAAGAAATATTCAAAGTGGGTACACTGGCTATGGTGTCTTCTGAGAGGTGCAAAGTCAACTGCTGCCTGTGCCCTGCATGGGGCCACCCAACATGAGCTACAGAAGGATCTGCAGATAGATTCTAATTGTGTTGGGCTTGGAGGTGCCCAGGAGGCTAAGCTATGAACCTTAGAAAGCTGCTGCTAGTGCTGGGCCTGTGGCCACTTATCAAGACATATGGGCACAATGATAAGGCCAGCTGCTGCTTGTTTAAGAGATTTATGGAAGTCTGAAGTCTGAGCCAGGAAAGGCCATTCATATGGAAAATCCACAGCAAACAGCTTGGGTGGGGATGCAAACTGGGTGGGGCGGGGTCTCAGGGTATCATCAGGACTGGTGAACAGTGTTGGTCAGGTTGATGGAGATTCAGATATGGCTACTGCTTGTTGGCTTTGTGGTAAGGGAGGTCTCAGCCAAGGAACAATGACCTCTGCTAGTAATTCTGTCTGGGAGAAGGCTGGTCCTAGTTTTTGTCCTGATGCCAGACATTTAGTTCATCTCTGTATGTCCTTGGATCCTTTTAATTTATCCCAGTGCTGGAGCTCAGGGGGAGTGAGTCTGAGTAAGTCTGTGCATAGGTCCTTTAAGAGGAACTACCTGGGACTTAAGCAGCCTCTGTGCCACTCAGCCACAATCCCCACTTGTTTTTACAGCCTGAAATTATGGGGACTACTCTTTCTGGCACTGGAATCCTGGGCTGAGGATCTGGTTTGGGGTTGGGATCCTTTGCTCCTCCCTGGGGGAGGTTCGCTGACAAGATATCCCTCCTGATTTTTAACTGCCACATGTGGATGTCCAACCAGCCCGTTCTGGCTTCTGCTCTTCCTAGAGTCTCAATGTGCCTTCTTTAATTCTCTAGTTGTAGGGCTTCTGTTGAAACAGATCTCAGGTTGTTCTGAATAATGGTTGTTCTGTGGTTTAGTTGTAATTTTAATGTGATTGTGGAAGAGGAATGCTGCATTTACCTATGCTATCATCTTTGTGCTAGACCTCTTATTTCTTTTTTTTGTATGCCTTTTCTTTTCTTTTTCTTTTTTTTTTTTTTTTTTAAATATTTTTATTAAGTTTTTACAGAGAGGAAGGGAGAGGGATAGAAAGTTAGAAACATCAATGAGAGAGAAACATCAATCAGCTGCCTCCTGCACACCACCTACTGGGGATGTGCCTACAACCAAGGTACATGCCCCTAACCGGAATCGAATCTGGGACCCTTCAGTCCTCATACCAACACTCTATCCACTGAGTCAAACTGGTTAGGGCTGTCTGCCTTTTCTTAACTTTTCTCCATTTTCATTGTTTTAGCCCTTTCTTTACCTACACAAAGTATCTCTAGTGCTAATGAAATATGTCTTTTTCCTCCATGACCTACACTGAATAATTAAAGCTTAAAATATTTTTAGAATAAAAAAATTATCAGCTTTACTTTTTTCATGAATTCTATTTTTCTTTTCTTTCTCTCTCTCTCTCTCTTCCACTCTCCTTTCTTTCTTTTTGCAGCCACCTGATAAAAAAAATTATTATTTGAAATTAGCAGGAAATTAAAAAAAAGTTTTGTGGTTTTTTTTTGTTTCAAATGTGTTAAATGAACTATTCAAGCTCCACTTTATCTCAGTATAAAATTTGGGGAAAAAAAAAAAAGGGGCTATAATTTGGAGCCTAAGAAGATAAAGTTAACTATGCAAATCAAAATCAATTATCTTTTTAATATTCTAAGTAATTTAAAAATATTGATCTCTAAGCACTTATTGAACCCTATTCTTCCTCCAATATAGCTCTGCTGTTCTGTATAATTGTCGTTTACATTTCTATGTCTTTCAGGACAATTAGCTCTGTAAGGCAAGACACAATAGGTATCTTATTAGCTATCAAGTCCAACTCCAGGAGGTTCACAATGAACATATGATGAATGAATTTTCTTTTTATGTCATTCCTCTTGTTGGGTTAGTGTTTTTTTAATTAATGAACCCACATAAGTACCTATAAAATTTTATAAGTAACTATAAAATTTCTAGAACTCATCTGATTAAACTGGTTCAGCAAGACACTAGTTAAGGGGGTATCAGTGGACTTCTAGCCTGGCTATGGTTGGAAAGCCAATGGAAGATGTCCAGGTTAGGTGATGACAGCGATGCAGGGGTACAGAGAGGGTAGAGGTCTGAGTATGAGAGCAGAGGCCCCAGCAGCAACACCCAAGACCAGGAGAGAAAGCCATAAAAAAGCTTGGCAACCTGGTTGTTTGGAGGAACCACAAAGGGATCTTGGAATTAGTTGTGCTGATTTGTCCAGAAGTGAAGGGCCTTTTAATGAGATGGTAGCAGAAGGTGTCCTACCCAACCCACCTGATCCTAAGAGGGTTCTCTGCCTAATACGATCAGGGAGTCGTACTGGTCTTAACATGCTTCTTTTCTTCTCCCTCTTTCCCCCTTCTGGCCTTTTTGTCCAGGATTTCCTGGTCTCCCAGTGTTCTCCACTAGTCCTGAGAATCCTTGACTTCCAGGAAAGCCAATTGTTCTCCAATCATCTTTAGGACCTGGAGGACCTGATATTAGATCTGGAAGGCATCATGGACCATCTTTTCCAGTGTGATATCTCTCTCTCCTTTTCAAGGTGTCCAGAGGACCTTAAATAAAAATAGTATTTTTCAATGCCTGAGAATGTTCCCAATCTTTCAGCCTGGGATCATTAGTCATGTTGTTCAAGAGTTTCACTTCTTTAATTTTAGTTTTTTAAAATTTTTATTGTTTTCAGAGAAAAAGAGATTCACTTCTCCTTATTTTTTTCACTTCTCCTTTTATTTCCTATTGCAAATGCGCTTGTTTTTCTTTCATAGACATAATTTCTGCTGATGCATTACACACTCCTCTAGTTTACTCATTTCTTACCACTATTCAGAAGAGAATTATAAACACAAGGAGAAAAAGGGCAATCAGCACATATTTGAAGGGCTTCAGTTGCTCTTAAAGGTCAGTGTAAATTTTAGGATTCCAGAGGTAGCAAAACTATCACTGAGCAAGCATCAAACTTCCCAATTATCAGTTTCTTCCTGCTGATCAGGAAAGCTATCTCATTGTTCCATACTTTTGGAGTAGAAGAAGGAGCATAAGTTTGTAAGGATACTTAAATGGTCATTTTAATGAACTGCTAAAAGCTGAGTGAGGGACTACTGTGTGAGAAGTAGGAGACTCCTGGTGCTACAGTCTTTGGGGGAGAGAGGGCAAACTGTCCTGGGTTTTATCTTTGGAATCCCACCAGGTTCTTACAATTGTCTCTTTTTAAACCATTGCAAAAAATATATTTTAAGGCTGCACCATCAATATGTAACTCCTCCATTTTATAAACATTTAGCTTGAACCCATTTAAAACTAAAGCAAAAAGAAAAACAATAATGTATAACTTAGGGATAGTTACCAGAATGGAATGTCATAGCTAAATAACCTTTCAGATATATTTAACCTTTAAAGACTATAATAATATGAATATTGATATGAAATTTTTAATAGGTACTTCTATCTGATATTAGGTCAACACATTTTGTGATTGAAATGGTATGGTAAAACTTTCCCAATGTATATTCACTCTCTTAAGAATTCTGAATATACTAAATATAAAATGGAATACAAAATTTAATTTAAGAGACATTTAGAAAAATAATAGTATTGAACTTACTCAAAAATATTTATAAGTTGTTCACTTGGTGCATTTTTCAGCCCAGTCACAATACTCTGTAATCGGCTCACACTCTGAGTGGCTGACGCAACAGGAGTAATGATTGCTTCTTTTTCTCGTAAATATCGCCGCCCTGTTAGGGGGGTTGAAGGTGCAAATGATGTTTTCTGTCAAAAAAAAGAAAAATCTGTGAGATTAAAAAGTTACCTTCCCCCTCATTAAGTATTTAATTCAGTATATATATCATCTTCTCTAATCAAATTTAGTAAGCTACTTTTTCCCCTTCCTCTTCTGGTTATCCACCAAATTTTTAGCAATATCCTGCTAATAACATCCTTAAATTTGAGTAAAACTTTTTCAAAGCATAATCTCATTTTCTCTTAACATTCACTTAAAAATAACATATACATTTTCATTTTACTTATGAGAGAACAGGCACAGAGAATTTAAAAACCCTGTTTAAGCTGATGAAGTTAATGGCAGGCAGAGCTTGGATTAAAACTTAGGTTGTCTAGCTTCCAGATAAGTGATTTTTAACTAGTGTGCTGCAAGAATTTTTAAAGCATGTAATACCTGACTATTTAGTCAGGGACACTGATCTTTTTTCCTTTATATTGTCAAATTAAAAAATTATAACAGGCCCTCCCCCAAAAAACTAACAACAGCCAACACAACAAATACTGTCCATTGTGAATGCCCTGTCTTGAACCATAAATATATAGGTTATATAACAGAGTTCAAGTTATTAGCCACATCACAAAAGGTTGTATCTGACTAGTTAATTATACTAGAAATCCGTATATACAAGTATAGGCACCTGATTGTTTTAAAAGTCACTTTGTAGCAAAAAGGGTAGGTAATTATTATTATTATTATTTGGTAAATCAGAAGTATAACTGATTTTTTGGTCAGACTGGCAAAATATATTTCTCTGGCGTGCTACAGAATTATACTGATTAAGTTTATGTGTGTCATGAAACGAAAGTTTGAAAATTAGTGTTCTTGACTAGTGACTTTTCCATTAAACCTTATCCTCCAATCCACTTTAGACTTATATACAGAATTAAGCCTTGGCTATTAATAATCAAGTCCAGGGTTTTATAGCCGAAGCACAGCAAGAGCACATAATTTTCCTTTATATATATATATATATATATATATATATATATATATATATATATATATATTATTGATTTTGTACAGAAAGGAAGGGAGAGAGATAGAGAGTTAGAAACATCGATGAGAGAGAGTCATCGATCAGCTGCCTCTTGCACACCCCCTACTGGGGATATGCCCACAACCAAGGTACATGCCCTTGACCGGAATCGAACCTGGGACCTTTCAGTCCCCAAGCCGACGCTCTATCCATTGAGCCAAACCGGTTTCGGCAAGAGCACATAATTTTCATGGATAGGAAAGCAAACTAAATTTTAAAGCAGTGAAATAGTGGCTAGTGATAAAAAGATTAGAAAAAAATCATAAATCCTTAAGTCAAGACATTCTCTACTGAAAAACCCAGACATTCTGGGAAAATATATCCAAAATATGAAAAATAGCAAGAAATGTGGTAAAAATACTAAATGGCATAGTTTTTAAAAATTACCTTTTAAGGCTTTCATGGGAAATATGAATTAGTAGAAGAAACCCAAGATTTAGCTTGAAAGATGCTTCTGCTGTTAGTAGAATCATATACAGAGAGAAAAAGATCATTCAAGACTGAGGCCAGTCTAGGTTATATTACTTTTTCAAAGTGTTGTTGAAGGTTACATTCCACATTAGCCTGTCCTGTCAGTTTCCCTAATGGGGTGTCACCAGTGAACTTTCGAGGAGTTCCAATTTCCTCATCTGCATCTGCTCCCAAAAAGATCCTCTCATCAAAATCACCAACAGTTAAAACATATTCTTCATACTCCTTGTTCACTGCTTTGCTGAGAAAAAAAAAATTACTTTAAGCTGCAAGAATAAAAGCAAGTAACAAAATAAAACACAATGGATTTATCTTGATTTGAAGTTTTAGACGCCACAGTCTGGAAAAGCTGATAACTTTCTAGTGTTGTTGCTTTTTAAAAAAAATATTTCTTTTACTGATTTTTAGGGAGCAAGAAAGGGAGAAACATTGATGCGAGAAGGAGACATCTATCAGTTGCCTCCTGCACATGCCCTACTGGGGATCAAGCCTGCAATCTGCACTTGTGCCCTGACCAGGAATCAACCAGCAACCCCTTGGTGCATGACAATGCCCACCCAACTGAGCCACACTCTTTTTTATTAAGTCTGCTAATCTAATGATATCAGAGGCTCCTACCTGATGACCATTCTTCTCATTCACATCCATAGCAATAAATTGAAAGGCGAGTGAAAGAGAATATATACTTAATCTGAAAACTAGTTGAACCTAATTAAGATCTGATTACTGAGGCAATAGTGGCTTTGAAATATAAACACATTCTGAATTTGCCAACATTTGGTTAATAAAAAGTCAAATACAGAGGAGACTGGGCCTGTTTATGACTTTCTCTTCAAAGTAGCTGCTAAGTACCAGTGGTTCCTCAAAATAAAGGTAAAGACAACAAAGCTTGGTGACAACACTCACTCAATGTCACTAGAGCAGTAGGAACTTGAATATAATATTTCACTTAATAAACTGCAACAAATTATTATTGACAACCTATACTATATTAGACACCATTAGTGGTAGATACTTACCTATTATCAGTAAAATTGGAAAAGTCCAGGAGGCATTCTCCTTTTAAAATCTAGGAGGAAAAAGTCATTATGTGACATCATATAATTAAGCATATTAGCATATTTATCTAAATTTTTAACAAAATTTTCACATTTTACTAAATATTTCTTTCAGACCAGTAAAACTAAATTAGCATGCAAATAAAATATTAAAAACCATTTAAAGTCAAGGCTTTTTTTCTTTTTTAAAAAGAAAATTGCCTTTTAAAATTTATTATTATTATTTTAATACGTTTTTATTGGTTTCAGAGAGAGGAAGGAAGAGGGAGATAGAAACATCCATCAGCTGCCTCCTGCACACCCCCAACTGGAGATTGAGCCCACAACCCAGGCATGTGCCCTGACTGGGAATCAAACCAGCAAGTGACCTCTTGGTTCATGAGATGACACTCAACCAACTGAGCCACACCAACCACGCTAAAGTCAGTTTTAAAAATACTTTAAAATCAGTTTATAGCAGAGGTTTCCAAATTTTAGTGATATATGAATCACTTAAGAGAACTTGTTTAAAATGAAAACTGATGGACCTCAAGGCCTGGGCTGAGGCATTGTTTTTAGCAAATTTTCATAATTATTCTGATGAAAACTATCCAATTTTAAACATTTGTCTATGGTAAAAGGGAACTAACATATATTGAAGCAGAAGATTCAAAGGAAACACGTACTATCACTGGTGAGAGGAAAATATATGTATATATTTTTTACAGAGAGAAAAAGAGAGGGACCGAGTGTTAGAAACATCAATCAGCTGCCTCTTGCACACCCCCTACTGGGGATGTGCCTGCAACCAAGGTACATGCCCTTGACCGGAATCGAACCTGGGACCCTTCAGTCCGCAGGCCTACGTTCCACTGAGCCAAACCGGTTTCGGTGAGAGAAAAACTATATTGTTGTTAGTACTTCTGCATATTCACACTACTTAAGATTACTACACATCAGGAGTTGTAAATTCAAATGCCCTAAGGGTCAGGGGTCAATATACATTAATGAGGACAGTAGAAAGGTATTTCCCATCTTCGAAGAAGTGACCATCATTTAGCTTGACAACAGTTACTATGTAAAGTCATGTAGAAATTCCAAACCAGTATTGCTATAGCTTCTGATTTTTGAAAAGTTTTTATATGTAAGGTCTGTATCTGGAAATTAAAAATGGAACGAAACAAAATGAACTAAATAACACCCTACAAAGACCAAGCAAAACACCTGTGGCCCATGGCAGGAGGACCAGTTAAACTAGGATACTTTTGGGGTGAAAGGAGAAGCTATAATAATGATGCTAAGACAGGGGTGGGAAATAATTTCATTTGGCCTTGCCAATGCATTAGGAGTGATTTAATTAAATGGTTGACCAAATATAGCGGGCTAATTTTTAAACTGATAATTTTGTATGGCCTTCAAATGAAGTTATAAATATCCAAATGACCCTTGGCAGAAATAAGGTTTCCCACCTCTGTGCTAAGACAACAGCCGAAAGCCAAATAATCCAAAGATACCAAGATGTACAATCATCATACCCAGAGGCCGCAGAGTACAACAGGCATAACTCTTGAATTCTCTTAGAAGTTTACTGAAGATATTTAACATACACATAAGGAGTCATGACACACACACACACACACACACACACACACACACACACACACACACACAGAGAGAGACAGAAATGTGAATTTTAGTAAATATAAAACTAAATACAAAAGTGTGTGTAAGAGACAAAGAATCGAATCCAGTTAGGAAAGACTTTATGCTTGAAGAAAAATCTCATTATATTGGCAGAGAGGAACCACATGATGACCTAATCCAAACCCCCTATTATACTAAAGAGAAAACTCAAGGTCTAGCTGGATTAAAAGGCTGAATATTCAGAAAATGAAACATTGAGTCCCAAAGGAATAAGCCACTTCACAAATATAGAAATAGCTAAGTAAATTCTTGAGGAAAACAAACTAGAATGCATGCATATAGTCTGCAAAAGAATACAAAACTATACAGGATTTTCTGCTCTATTTATAAAGAATTAAAGCTATAGTTGCTATACGCCATCCTACTTCTAGTAAATAGAAATTATTCAAATTGTGGCAGTAAATTAGCTTTCTCTGACCTCCTGTTTTTCATAATTTTTTATCAGAACCTCCTTTAGCTACCTCTGACAGTGTATTTTTACTTGATAATATTATATAATTAATTGGTCACATTCTTCAATGGCTGTCCCTCACATTATAGGCCAATTCTGCGACGTGGCAGAGACTGAAACCTGGAAATCTTAACTCTGAATCTTTATTTATTTATTTATTTTTTTTTTATTTTTTTTTTTAGTTTGTGCTAAATCATTTTTTAAGATGTGTAGCTTTGGGACATTTTATTACAAAAAGCTGTTTTTATATAAGTGACTAACAACTTAAAATTCACCATACATTTACTTCATTTTTTAGCTTGACCGTCTAGTAAATCTTTAGCTTCATTGATTTTGGCTGCTATGTAAGGAGATCCTCCCTTGTCTGGATGATTTAACAGCATAATTCGTCGGTGAGCATCTCTTATTTTTCCTTTATTGGCAGTAGGGCTTACACCTAATATTAATGCTGCTTCTCGTTTTGTCATTTTGGGTTCAAACCCACCTCTGTAATAGCCACCACTGAAGGCAGATTTTGGTAGACTTTGAAAAACTTGTTTTACTTGAGGCTCCATATGCTTCATGGCTTGCAAAACATAACGGCCTGCAAATCCTGCAGCAGCAATGGTCAATCCAACTGCGACCACTGTACTGGCCATGGCTCCGGCTCGGCTCCCCTGCCTCCGCCGAGAGCGCGGCTCATCCCAGCCCCGAAGGCCGCGGCCCCCCGCTCCCCGCCGCCCCCGGACAGCAAGGGCGCCGCCGGCGGGGACCAAAGGTCCACACGCCTTAACTCTGAATCTTTAAAACATTATCTCTTTTTGAGGTTACTACTGCTAACCCCTAAAAATCTTGGTAATTTAATAAGTACAGTACCTTCCTGTCAAAGAGTTTTGAAATATATGGCTTGAAGTAGTGCTCCTTTATTCCTTTTGCTTCCACTAGAAGTCCATCATGCAGTTCACACAGTACAGCAATGATGCAGGGGGGCTCTTCAGGAGCCCTGAAGTCAGCAGTATGAAAATCAGATGGCAATCCTAGTATGACAGGGTATGAAAAGCAACAGGGGGAAAAGAATATGGTCAATTTTTAAAACTCTTTTTCTAAAAACTGATAATCAGTTTTGAAAAATAAATAAGGTCTTACCTTTAAATGACGGATTTAGCAAGTCTCCTCTATTTGGGCATATAATGGCATTGGCAAAAATCAGATCCAAGCAGCACAGAAGTAAATGATAAGAGTTTACTAAATCATCTCCAATCATACGAAAATTACCTTTGAAAGAAAAAAAGAAACACAAACCCAGAAACCTCTAACATCAAACAGCAACAAGTTCCCACAATAGAAATGTAAAACCACTGAAAGTATCACCTTACCCTTAGTATAAACAAAGAGTGTCCAACAGAAATTAAAGAGATCCTTAACACTGCAAGGACTCCTCCTAAAAAAAAAAGGAAATGTACTTTTTATATTACTAATTTGCCTCCACAGCTGTCATTTAAACTGAAACAGAAAATATAAATAACAAATAGTAAAGTTAAATTACATATAAAATTCTACTCACAAAGGACAGACAACCTCTGGTTAATTTAAACAAACTTAAATTTTATATGCATAAAATAATTAGGGCATAAAAAAGTAAGTGAAATCATTACCCTGAATTTCCAAATACATGTACTTATAAATGGATTTTAATAGAAACTTAAGTTTTAAAAGTAGAGTTTTAAAAATGCAAATACCCCTAGTGACTTTATTTTATTTTATTTTTTAATATATTTTATTGATTTTTTATAGAGAGGAAGAACAAGAGATAGAGAGTTAGAAACATCGATGAGAGAGAATTACTGACCAGCTGCCTCTTGCACAGCCCCTACTGGGGATGTGCCCACAGCCAAGGTACATGCCCTTGACCAGACCGATGCTCTTTCAGTCTGCAGACCGACGCTCTATCCACTGAGCCAAACCGGTTTCAGTCCTAGTGACTTTATATCATACTTATATCAATGATGTAAGGTTTAAGGGTCTCACCTCTGCTTTCTGCTTCGTGGTAACTTTGGTGGCTCTTCATATGGATTTTGAAATATATCTAAAAAAATTGGCTCAAATTTCTTGAAAATTACAGTAGACACTTCAAAATTTCTTTCTAATCTTTCTATACGTTCACGAAATTCTTGTGGCAGGTTTGACATGTCCATCCACTTCTTCATTTTACTAAAAAACTGTATTAAACTAAACAAACAGAAAAAGAACACTTTAAAATGAGTACATATAATGGACAGAAAATGAAACTTCTATTTATACCTACGAATCTTTATTAAACAGCTTGGATTTATTAAAAAAAAAAAAAAAAAAAAAAAAAAAAAAAAGACAAAAAGCCTTACTTCCCAAGTGCTATTACTTTGGTTCCCAGAATCATCATGGGAATTTATATTTTGAATTAGTGGTCATTATAAACCATATCTTCTAATATACAGGGAGTGACAACACCTATCTACCTACAGCACCTAAACAATAATACAAATATAAATTAATGTTAATCAACAGATAGATGAGTTAACAAAATTAGTTTGAGGAAGGACAGAATATCCCAAGTTGTGGATTCTAGAATTTGATCACAAAGTACCAGACAGTTACAGGTTCAGAATAAAATTCAAGTGTTTATGTTCCAATGTGTGGTTCCATCATTAAATATAAACTAAGAAGGTAGTACATACCCAGAAAATAACAGATTATTCCTTTTCGTTTCTGGCTTATTCAATTATGGGGACATTTTTTGTCTATGTTAGCGTGGTTTTAGATTTAAAATCTGTAGTGTTAAAGCGCATATAAAAAAGCGTGTGTGTGTGTGTGGAATGGCACTAGTTATTTTTTATTTTATTTTTTAAATAAATCTTTATTGTTCATATTATTACAAATGTTCCTCATTTCACCCCCTTCCATTGCTCCCCTCCACCAGGTTCCCACCCCACCCTTTGCCCTTTCCCCACCCCCTATTGTCCTCATCCATAGGTACAGTTTATGTTCAGTCTCTTCCCGCACCCCCCCACTCCCCTTTTCCCTGAGAATTGTCAGTTCACTCCCCTTCCATACCTCTGGTTCTATTATATTCACCAGTTAATATTGTTCATCAGATTTTTTAGTTCCCTTGGTTTTTAGATTCACTTGTTGATAGTTACATATTTGTTCATAATTTTTATCTTGTCGATAGTTACATATTTGTTCATAATTTTTATCTTTTTATCTTATTTTCTTCCTCTTCCTAAGAACCCCCTTCAGCAATTCATATAATTCTGGTTTGGTGGTGATGAACTCCTTTAGCATTTTTTATTTGTGAAGCTCTTTATCTGGCCTTCGATTCTGAGTTATAGCTTTGCTGGGTAGAGTATTTTTGGCTGTAGGTTCTTGCTATTCATCACCTTGAATATTTCTTGCCATTCCCTTCTGGCCTGCATGGTTTCTGTTGAGAAATCAGCTGACAATCGTATGGGTGCTCCTTTATAGGTAACTACCTGCTTTTCTCTTGCTGCTTTTAATATTCTCTCTGTCTTTTGCTCTTGGAATTTTAATTATGATTTGTCTTGGTGTGGTCTTCTTTGGATTCCTTTTGTTTGGAGTTCGGTGCGCTTCCTGGACTTTTAAGTCTAATTCTTTCACCAGGTGGGGGATGTTTTCTGTCACTATTTCTTCCAGTATGTTTTCAATATCTTGCTCTCTTCTCTTCTTCTGGGACCCCCATAATTCTGATGTTGGTTCGCTTGAAGTTGTCCCAGAGGTTTCTTACACTATCTTCAACTTTCTGGATTCTCTTATCTTCTTGCTTCTGCAGAGGATTGTCTTCTGGCTCTTTATGTTCCAAATTTTTGACTTGATTCTTGCGATCTTCCATTCTGTTTTTAGGACTCTGTATAATATTTTTTATTTCAGACAATGAATTCTTTATTTCTAGTTTATCCCTTATTATTTCTAGTTGATCCCTTTTCATATCCTCATAGGTCTCGTTTATTTTATTGGCCTTTTCTAGGAAATTCTTGAAAAACCTTAGAAGTGTGGTTTTGAACTCTATATCTAGTCTCTTTTTGTCCTCCATTTCTTTCATTTGTGATCCGTTTCCTTGTTTCAGCATTTTCGCTGGTTCCCTGAGTTGGTAGAGTAGCCTTGTGTGCTAAGGTTCAATGGGTCAGTCTCCCAGTTACCTGAAGTAGACACTCTTGGTGCCCCCTTTTGTGGACTGTGTGTACAGCCTTGTTGTAGTTAAGTCTTTATTGTTGTTGGTATCAATGGGAGGAACTGACCTCCAGACCAATTGGCTGTGAGGATCAGCTGTGTCTATGCCAGGAGACAGACTTATTCGACTAGACTTGGAAAATTTCAAAAGCCTCTGTGTTCAGCTTGGATGGGGCGGAGTTTCAGGGTGGAGCCTACAGCCTTGGCTTCTCGTCAGCCCCTTCCTATGAGGTTCCTGAGTCTCAGTGTTCCTCAGTGTTCTTTGGTACTCTGTGTAAGCAACTCTGAGAGAAAGGTGCCCTCGAGTTTCGCCTGCTACCAAACATTCTAGGCTCTCCCCCAATGAGCCCGGAACTGGGGTTCAGTTCAGTTGGAAGTGGGGTTGGAAGTGGGGTTCGGAGCAGTCTGGAGCTTTTTGGCAATCCAGCGTCAACAGTTCGTTCTTTGCGCGCACCTCTGGGACTGCCTTTCGCCACTCCCCTGTGTTTCCGCCTTATAGCTCAGACTCCCTCTGTATGAGCCTGGATCCCCAGGGTCTCGCCCAGAACTGGGGTTCAGTGCTGTCGAAACTGGGGTTCAGCACAGTCCGGAGCTTTTATCTCCTTCCCACTAGGGAACTCCAGCCAGGCACTCAGCCTCCCCCTCCTCTCTGGCACCGTCCTCTCTGTGCACACACCGTGTCTCCATACCTTAGGCTTTTACAGCTCCTCTAATTTTCCTTCTGGTTTTCTCTTTCCTTCTAGTTGTAGAATTTCCAGTCAGTCAACTTTCCTATAGTTCTGGATAATGTCCATTTTGTATTTTAGTTGTATATTTTTGAAATTGTTGTGTGAGACTGCAGTTAGGCGTTTACCTATGCTTCCATCTTGGTTTTTTCCACACTAGTTTAAAAATTAAAACATTTTTAAATGTTTTTATTAATTTTAGAGAGAGAGAGGGAGAGATAGAAACAGTAGCTATCTGGACCAGGAAGTTCTTGGCCAATAGACTACTTCAACAGAAGCAAATGGACACCGAAGTCCTTCATCTTTGGGAAGGCAATAGTACCCAAGACAGAAATTTGGGGAAAACTAGCCAAAATGTTTAAGACCACACCAGATGTCATCTTTGTGTTTGGATTCAGAACCCACTTTGATGGTGGCAAGACAACTGGCTTTGGTATTACTAATGCTTCTTTGGATTACACAAAAAGTAATGTCAAGTCATAAAAGAGAAAGGCTGTGGAAATATTCCTGATTAAAGAAAATTAAAGAGACATAAGTGAATGCAATGCTTGATTCTAGACTGGAGACTGTACCTGAAGAAAAAAAATGCTATAAAGAAAAATTATTGATTTAACTAATAAAATTAGAATAGAGATGACAGATTATATAAAATTATGATATCATTGTTAACTTTGCTGGAGTTGATAACTATTCTGTAGTTATTTCAGGAAACATATACTGAAGTATTTAGGTGTAAAGGGCTCTAATGTACACAACTTAATTTGAAATGGTTGAGGAAAAAATATTACTTAAGAGAAAAATAATAAAGCAAATATTAATAATAGGTGAATCTGCATCAAGGATACACGGGTATTCTTTGTGCTTGAAATTATTTTATTTTATTTTTTAAATATATTTTATTGATTTTTTTACAGAGAGGGAGAGGGATAGAGAGTTAGAAACATTGATGAGAGAGAATCATCGATCAGCTGCCTCTTGCACACCCCCTACTGGGGATGTGCCCGCAACCAAGGTACATGCCCTTGACCGAATCGAACCTGGGACCCTTCAGTCCCCAGCCGACGCTCTATCCACTGAGTCAAACTGGTTAGGGCTTGAAATTATTTTTTAAAAATTAATGAAAAATTATAGAAGAAAAAAGATTTAATACATAAACCTTAGTTGAAGTAAGAATTTGAGGAAGAAAGGCAATGGAAGGAAAACTGGGAAAGAATATCTATATGATAACAAGCTTATAAAACAATGAAGTTTAAAAAAAAAAAAAAAAGAATGAAGTTAAATGTTTTAAAATAAACAGAAATTAAATTCTAAAATCCAATTTAGGACTTATAAAACAATGTTTGAAAAATCAAAGTGCTTTACCTTAATTTAGCTGAACGTAGTATTCTGGTAAGTGAAACACAATTTCCTTCCATGATACCCTTTCCGACTGTGGGAATAATGCTTTTGCGGCATGCAACATATAATGAACATGCCAACCAGTGTATAACTTCTCCCTGGCAGACAAAAGACAAATAGCAAAATGAATTTATTATGTTAAAATGCTTGAACTCTAAAACCAGAAGAGATCTTTGAATTATCTAGTCTAATATTCATTCTGAATATAACAGTCTGAGAAAGGAAGTATTAGCCTAAGGTCACAAAGCTTAGTTAGCTGCAACAATAGGTATAAAAGTTCTTACTCTCAGTCCTGCATAACACGCTAAATCAGTATTAATCCAAAGCTAGATCTCTCACTTACACCTCAAATATAATATTTCTGAAAGAGTTCTCTTAAAATTTCTCAGCACTAGCTTTCTTGATTTTAAGACACCAGTTATGGCTTTGATGATGCCAAAATTCCTTTCCATTTTTTAATAGTTTGGCAGAGAAAGATGACAAGGGAATCACACATAAAAATATCTACCTTGAACAACATAAAGGAGACTATCATTTTTGTGAGGTAAAAATTGGGGGATTTATCCCAATCTTTAAAATAGTAAGTATGGCTCTCTAAATTTTAGAAGATATTTCAATTTACAATGTTACAAAAAAGGTGGCATTTGAGAATTCAACACAATTCTGAGGTAGATTTAACATATATCCAAGCTAGAATCACTTTATGACTTCATTGATGATCTATATGTGAAATTCAAGTTAAGAGTTAGACACAAATTTCAAAGCACAACAAACTACTGTTGCTATTCATTGTTTTGCAGATCTTAAGATCAGACTGGAGAACAGGGTTGGGGAACATCTGGCCCTCAGGCTGTATAAGCTCTGCAAAATCATTTGGTCTGGCCCTATCAAGTCATTAGGGGTGAGTTCATTAAATGTCTGACTAAATAAAGCAAGCTAATTTTAAAAATATATATATTTTTATTGACTTCAGAGAGGAAGGAAAAAAGAAGAGATAGGAACATCAATGATGAGAATCATTGATCAGCTGCTTCCTGCATGCCCCCCTCTGGGGTCCAAGGCCGAAACCCAGGCACATGCCCTTGACTGGAATCGAACCCAGGACCCTTCTATCCACAGGCTGATGCTCTATCCACTGAGCCAAACCAGCTAGGGCTAGTAGGCTAATTTTTAAGTTGATAATTTTGTATGGCCTTCGGATGATGCTATAAATATCCAAATGGCCTCTTAGCAAAACAAACAAACAAACAAACAAACAAACATTCCTCACTCCTGCTTTAGTAGGATAAAAAGACTGGTAGATTTCTTGCAATAATCCAAAAGGGGTGGGAAGAAATGAGTGGCCACAAATAAAGCTAAAATTCAGTGTTCCTACCCTAAAGTAAAAAGTCTTATTTGTTCAAGGCATTAAAAAAGGGAGTTAAAAAAAAAAAAGGTAAAAAAAAAAGAGGGAAGTAAGCTTAAGGTTGAATATTTTTTTAAGACTTAATTAATGAATTATTTGGGAATAGAAAGTGTTAAAGAGCCTTTGGATACAGACTACTATATGAAAACACCATTAAGATTAAAAATAATTTAAATACCAGAATTATTGCTTTGATTTTTTCCTCCCTGATAAATAAAAAGTTACCTATATTATCTATTTTGAGTCCTTGATGCTAGGCTTTAGAAATACAAAGATGGTTTCTGATCTCATGGAACTCCAAGTCTAGAGCTAAGAAAAACAGACATTATTATCTGTAATTGGGGAGATATCCTATAGGATAAAAGGTTAATATGTAAATCAACTGAATGGCAGAATGACACGCACTGGCCACCAGGGGGCAGACGCTCAACGCAGGAGCTCCTTCTGGTGGTCCCTGTGTTCCCACAAGGGGAGTGCAGCTCAGGCAGAAGTGGGGCTCATAGCTGGTGAGTGCAGCAGAGGAGGCAGTGCTAAGGATAAGGATGTCCAAAAGTGCTAAGGACATGCCCTGAACGCTACTGGACTGTGAGGGCACAGGCCAAGCTCAGGGACCTCTCCTGCCCCGCCCCTGCATGAATTTCATGCACTGGGCCTCTAGTATGCTATTAAGAAGAAACGATGGAGGAAAATGAAAGCAGGAGCTGGTGACTAGTAGGTAGATTAGAGAGGTATGGTTGAGGAGAGGGGTTCTTAGGAAGCAGCAGCTATATGAAAATGCCTACTTCAAGAGCCTTTCACCAAAAACAAAGACAGAAGAAAATAAAACACTTCAGGTAGAAAAAATCACTTAGAAAATCTTAATTAAAAAAAAAAAAAAAAAAAAAAGGAAATCTTAATTCACACATCTATGCTTTCTAAATCAAACATTTAATATTGTCTTTATCAACTCTACCTTACTGGAGATCTAGCTCCTCAATTTTCCCTGGGATATGCGGTGAGGGGGAAGTTTTCAGGTGAAGGGAACGGCATGGAGAAGCACATAAGTGGGAACAGTTGGCATATTCAAGAATCTGAAAGAGGTGCCTAGTTTAATGCCTAGACTATGGCTGGCCTCAGTAAGTGCTTATTCACTAAGACCAAATGAGGACCTGACATGTCAGAAATGCTTTCTCAGGCTTTTAAAAATCAGTTTGTTGTCTGGCTGGTGTAGCTCCATGGTTGAGTATCAACCGATGAACCAGGAGGTCCAGATTCAATTCCTGGTTCCTGGGGTTGCAAGCTTGACCCCCTAGTGGGGGGCATGCAGGAAGCAGCCGATCAATGATTCTCTCTCCCTCCCCTTCCTCTCTGAAATCAATAACAAATATTTTTAAAAATCAGTGTGTTTTCATTGAGAGGCCATAATTCATAATATCCCTTACTTTCTTATTCTTTCCTCAGCTTTCCAGTCATGCTTCCCACAGCTGCATACTGGGAGTATATCCTTTACTCAATCTATCCAGTCCTACCCTGGAGACATATAAGAGTCACTCTTGAATGTTTTTCCCTTATATACAGACACGTAAACTCAACTGCAATGTCCAACTCTATGCCTTTAAATGCAGCACAGTTAATTATTTCACTGGAGCACTTTATGGATGAGTCCGGGCCCCATAGGTCATGAAAACCTTGGACTGTAAAGCCACTGGAGTAATTACTGAAATACATTACATCACAATTCTACCTCCTCTGCAGAGAGAGCCTGTGCTTACCTGCGTTCCTATAATTAGGAGAATGACAAGGGCAAGGCAATTCTCTGGGCCTTGATACCCTGTTTCCCCGAAAATAAGACAGTGTCTTATATTAATTTTTTCTCCCTAAGTTGCGCTAGGTCTTATTTTCAGGGGATGTCTTATCTTTCCATGCGCTAGGTCTTATTTTCGGGGAAACACGGAAAGCAGGCAGTAGTAGAATCACTGCTTTGCCATGCCCACAGGGCTGTTGTGAGGATTAAATGCAAGAATGGCTGGGGAAAATCTAATGATGACAGCCTACATTTATTTTATTTTCTATCATATACAAGGATCGCCAGACACACTGTGCTAAAGCATCAGGACAATCTAAGTACCCCGTCCGAGAGAGAAGGGACTTGGAGCGGAGAGCACGTGTGAACTTTGCCTTTGATCTCATTGCTGAGCAACCCACACCCGCCCTAGGGAGGCGGAAGGGTGGCGGCCCCGACTCCTCAGTCTGGCTTAGCCGCCAACCCAGCGTGTGACCTCAGGCAAAGAAGTACCTTAACTTCCCCGGGGCTCAGCCTCGCACCTGCGGAAAGGGGATCACAGAAGGTGCTCAAGGGGTGGTATTGAGAACCCAGGGAGATGACGTACTTACCGTGTTTCCCCGAAAATAAGACATCCTCCGAAAATAAGACCTAGCGCATGGAAAGATAAGACATCCCCTGAAGCCGGGACCGGTTTGGCTCAATGGATAGAGCGTCGGCTTGGGGACTGAAAGGTCCCGGGTTCGATTCCGGTCAAGGGCATGTACCCTGGTTGCGGGCATATCCCCAGTAGGGGGTGTGCAAGATGCAGCTGATTGATGACTCTCTCATCGATGTTTCTGACTATCTCTCTCCCTTCCTCTCTGTACAAAATCAATAAAATATATTAAAAAAAAAAAAAAAAGACATCTCTTAAAAAAAAAAAAAAAAAAAGACATCCCCTGAAAATAAGACCTAGTGCAACTTTGGGAGAAAAAATTAATATAAGACACTGTCTTATTTTCGCGGAAACAGGGGTACAAGCACTGGGCAGGAACGTCTTGGCACACAATTCATTTTAGCTTTTATCATTATAGTATTCTTTTTAAAAAAAAATGTATTTTATTGTTTTTTTTTTACAGAGAGGAAGAGAGAGGGACAGAGAGCCAGAAACATCCATGAGAGAGAATCATCAACCAGCTGCCTCCTGCACACCCTCCATTGGGGATGTGCCGGCAACCAAGGTACATGCCCTTGACCAGAATCAAACCCGGGACCCTTCAGTCTGCAGGCGCTCTATCCACAGAGCAAGACCGGTCAGGGCTATACTATTAATTTTTAATAGATATTAAGGGCAGTGCCAAGAAGTTTGCAGAGTTTGGCGGGGTGGAGGGAAGTCTGGTCTGGAGTCTGAGGGGATCTCTGAGGATCTTGTGACCTTGGACAAACAGCTCCTTTTCTGAACTTCACTTTCCCGCCTCAAATAAAAACATGGACGGAATGATCTATAACTGGCCTTTCCAATTTCGCACTCGGCGGCGCCCGGCTGGGCGGCGACCCTTCTGGGTGGGGAAACTCCCACCGCCCCGCAGGGAAGGGCGGGGCCGGGGCCGGGGTGGGGCCTGGCGCGGGGGGCACAGCAGCCCACCTGCCGCCGCTCACCTCTAGGCTGTAGTTGCCCCGGATGGCGGTGAAGTCGTCCAGGGCTTCGGCCGCGCTCCCCTCGTCCAGGTTCAGCTCCTGGCACAGGGCCTGCAGCGCCTCCCCGGCCGCGGCCACCACCGCCGCCCCCTCGGCGTGGGACTCGTCTTCCAACATCTCCGCTGGCCCGGCGGGGCGGCACGATCGCAAACCCCCTCTCTGTGCTCCCTTCTGGGCGCGCTTACCCACAACCACCTGCGCAAAAGCGCGCGAAAATCGCAGCTTCAGAGCGCCGTCTCTTCAATGGTCTGCATCCGCGTTTCTCCCCAAAGAAGTCCGTTTCTCCTCCAGGGCGGCCCCTCTTTGGAAATATGATAAGAAGATGGACTTCGGGTCTTGAAAAAAAAAACAAAAAAAAAACCCAAAAAACAATAACACCTGGACTTGGCTCTTGGCGGGCAACGGTGGGCACAGCGGACTGGATAGATTGGAAGCGGAGGGATCAGCACTTTGCGCGCAGAGTCTGCTGGGAGTTGTAGTCCACATACTGCCCTGAAGCCGGCGGCGACGCCCTCGTCTTAGCGGCTCTTTGGCCTGGGCATGGCTGGGCAGTCTGTTGCGAGGTGGCCTCGTTCACCTTAGGCAGAAGGCTCCTCTGGCCCGCCTACGCATGGGCCTGGTGTGTCGCTGCTCCCGGGTGCCAAACGTAATCTGAGACTTGCTCCTTGAGTTAGGAGATGGTGGAGGGAACAGAAAAAAGCCGCCCTTTGACAGCGGGCGGGGGTGGGGGGAGTGGGGAGATGGGCTGGGGGTGTAGGGGAGGGGATGGAGCGAGGAGGAGGACCTTGTTGGACTCTCCTCAGTGTCTCTGGCGCCAAGTGAATGAGCGTGCCTTTTTAATGACTGAATTGTTGGTGAAGCAAGGATATGACGGGACACCTCCCCATATCTTCTTGATCGCTAAACAAGGCTTGGTCTGGATTCAGAGAAATGCAGTAAAGGGGGCCTCTTTTCAGCTTCCTGAACCCCGGAAATGTCATTCTAGGCCGAGGAATGCCTGAAAGCATGGAACTGGCATTGAAACTTACCTTCTCCTTCACAGAAACCCCTGCTTCATGACGAAGAGTGTGATCTTTTAAAAAGTAAATCAGAGCAGCTGTCGCCAGCCTTTCAGACCTCACGGACCACCGGTTGGTGACCACATGTCATTCCTTCACTAAAAACCCTTCCTCTTAGATAAGAGATCCACTGAATGACTTGTATACATGCATAAAAGCACAACCAATGGACGAAAAACTCAGGGAGGGAGGGCATGTATGGGAGTGGGGGGTAGTGGGGATTGGTAAGATATGTACACATATAATACCTTAATTTAAAAAAATAAAAAATAAACCCTTCCTCTTGCCTTTAAAATAGTATCCAAACTCCTTTCCATGGCTTACAAGTCCCCTTATGATCGGACTCCACCTTATTTAGGGAATTGCTCTCCCACTCCTACCTCCCTCCAGACATATAGTAACATTTAGCCTCATTATTTTGTTTTGGAAACTCCAAAATGCCAAGCTACCAAGCTAGTTCTTGCTTCAAGGCCTTTGTCCCAAATGACCCCAAACACTCTGCATCAGATCTTTGCTTGTCTGGCTCCTCATCATTAAAGTTCAATGAAATGTTGCCTTCTTGGACCATCCCTGAGCACTGCAGCTAAAATAACCGATTTCACCCTCCACCTCATTTGTCTTCACAACACCTTATCACTATCTGAAATTGTCTTGTTTGTTTATTCACTGGCTCTTTCTACTAAAATGTGAGTTGCATGAGAGCATGGGCCTTCCTTTCATGTTCACTATATTCCAAAATTTAGATTAGTGCCTGGTTCATAGTTGGCACTCAGCACATACGTAGCCTGGAGTGTTTGAAAAATTACCAAGTGTCCACTGTTGCTTGGATGAGGGAAGGAGTCACCAGAGATGAAAATGGAAGACAGGTCAGACAAGGTAGGTTGTAAAGCACCTCAGATGCCTCACTAAAAGCCTGGATATTCTCAGTGGGGGTTTTAATGAAAGAAGGTGACAAATGATTAGGATGTGTTTTGGACAGGTTTCTCTGGCTGCATTGTGACATACAGATTGGATGGAGTAGAGACTAGCCGTACAAAGCTGGTAGAGGACTGGTCCACCATAGGAAGGAGTTAGCCTGGAGAGAGGTCTCTGGCCCAGAACTGAGGGGGGCACCGCTAAAGAGGGATGAGTCAGTCCCCAACAGCAAGTTTCCATCTGGGCCAATTCTAGTGTTAACTAGAATTGGAGTACCTGCAGAAGGATCAGATCAGTTCTCAAACTGTTGTGTTTGGGATGTTTGCAGCAGTTTAAGAGGAGGCTACTGAATCCTGGGAGGTGGCCCTTTGGGACTTGAGAACCAGCTGCAAGCTAGGTCTCAAAATGAGCAAAAACTCAAACTGCCCCCAAAAACTCAAACTCAAATTGAACTCCCCATGTGGTACTTCCTACTCTGCTGCCTTCTAGAAACTACTGCTGCAGCTGTCTTCAGGATCATCTCTTCTTCCCACGAGTTTTTACTTGGAGGATTGCTATGGACGGTCTATCTCTAATGCCAGTGGGTCTGTAACAGGGCTTATCATCTCTCCTCCTACCTTCCTTTCCTGCCTGCAAAAAAATGCCAGGATTGGTGGAAGTGAGAAGGATGAAAGTAATCTTGTAGTGACTCATTTGTTTTCTAATAAAACTACTGTGCTTATTTAAGAGAAAGCTCCATTACCCACTGTAAGAGACTTAGTGCTTTCTGGTTCCAGAGAGGAGCCCCCACCTACCTCTCAGAGCAATAGCCGGGACTCCTTGCAGACCCTGAAACAGAGCTCATAACCCTGACCTCCAATAGTTAGTCTGAGAGAAAGTGGTACCGGAACCAGCCGGTATAACAGGTCCTGAAGGCATGGCTAGGAGGCTGAGAAAAAGAAAGACAGGAACAGCGGGGCTTCAGGAGGGCTGGAATGCTCGATGGCACCGCAGCAAGTTTATTAAGGGCACAATCTCTTTTATACACTAAAGCTGGATGTTCCTCCAAATGGCTTTCTCCAAGGACATGATGCTACATGCCAGTTCCTTAAGACCTCCGCAGGAAGATATCTAGCCGGAAAGGTTCATCCAGCTGTGCTCTGCTATGTTAATTCAAGGACATGTTTGCAGATTCCAATTCTCGCACGCACAGCAGAATGAAGGACACTGTTGCTTGCCACGTCCCCAAGTGACCCGAAATGTGGGGGAGAGCAGGCAGGGCTACCCACCCTTGCTCCATCCCCCGATTCTCAGATCAGTAGGGGACTTGGCTCCCAACAAAGTGGACTGTGCACTATTTATTATAGTCTTCAAAACCCAGAAGTTTAAATAAAGTTTGGTTTTAAAACAAAAGAGAGAGCGCTCCAGGAATGAGAATACAGCCAGACATGAGGATTTGAAAATATTCATGCAGTACCTGAAGCTAAAGAAGGAGCTTCATAGCAGGGAGTATGTTGGTATGAGAAGAGACTTTAGAAAACCCAACACTTCAGAGATGGTCAGAATTTGGGGAGTGAATGAAAAAAAAAAAAAAACTGACCAGAAAGGTATAAAAAAACAAACATTAAATATCTCACAGGCCAGGAAAGAAGTATTCCACAGAGTCCAGCAGAAAATTCAAATAAGATGAAGAATTCAATAGCCTTATATATTACCCTGTTTCCCTGAAAATAAGAGTGTCTTATATTAATTTTTTCTCCCAAAATTGAGCTAGGTCTTATTTTCAGGGATGTCTTATCTTTCCATGCGCTAGGTCTTATTTTCGGAGGATGTCTTATTTTCGTGGAAACACGGTAGCATTCATATATTTGTTTTGTTTTTAAGTGAGCCAGCTGGGCTGCATATGCTCAAGAAACAAGTTACAGAGGCAGAAGAAGGGTCCTTGGAGCTTGGGAGAAGAAAGGCAAAGGTAACATGCCTGGGGGGAAGGAAAAGGGAAAGGAAGAGGGGAAGGAAAGACACAGGTGTGCTTTCCAAGAAGAACTCATGCTTTAGTGACCTTTGCTAGAGCAGTTCTCTAGTACAGTGGGTGTGGAAGCCATATTACTATGGCCAAGAGGCCAATGGAAGGTCAGAAAGTTGAAGTAGGAAGTAAAAAGTTCTCTTTAAGAAGTTTTGCAGAGGAGAGGCAAAATAAAGAATATTTTCTAGGATAGGGGAAACCCAAGCATGTGAATAATCACAGACAGAAAGAGGTAGAGAAAATCTTAAGATAAAAAGAGAAAAAGTGAGAGATCATTGATGTGGCCACACCCTGGAAAAGGTGGTCAAGCTGGGAATTCAGAGCCTGGCCTTCCTCTTCATAGCTCCTGTCTGGATGGTAATCACCTGACATCTAGATTCAGCAGACCTTCCAGGTGCTCTGCTGAGTAGAAACTAGACCACTTGCAGTAGAATGGAAAAGGCTGGAACAATTGAGAAATATCAATAGGTCTGTAAACTGTAACCTCGTGGTTGGAGTTTTTGACCAAAAATGGAGTAAAAGTAAGTCTTCCCCATGAAATCCTGGCTTTCATAGCTGGTCATGGTCAAGATAACAAAAGCCAAGAAGCCTCAAGTTTTTTGCCTTTGCATAATTAACCATTTGCTTTTTCCTCCCTGATTTGAACTGTAGAGGGTAATTCTGGCCTTAAAAGGAAAGCAAGATAACAGTTAACTTTCAGAAATCAGAAATTCAACAAAACCAGAGATTCAGCCAAAACCGGTTTGGCTCAGTGGATAGAGCGTCGGCCTGCGGACTGAAGGGTCCCGAGTTCGATTCCGATCAAGGGCATGTACCTTGGTTGTGGGCACGTCCCCAGTAGGGGGCGTGCAGGAGGCAGCTGATTGATGATTCTCTCTCATCGATGTTTCTAACTCTCTATCCCTCTCTCTTCCTCTCTGTAAAAAATCAATAAAATATATTTAAAATACAAAACAAAAACAAACAAACAGAGATTCATTGCCCAATTTTTCACCTTTGTAGTAGTTTGGTTTTCAGTGAGTTGCAGCATATGCACCATAGCCCATTTCTTTTTTTACTATTAGATTCGATTCTCCTGGTTCTTTTCCTAATTTATGCATATTAACTCTTGAAAAACCTTAATTTCTTCATTCTATGTGCAA